CCGCTCGTCCTCTGCTGCAGAAAGCAGCCCTGGGGGTGCCGATGGGGGTCCCGGAGAGATTGCCCGGGGCACTACGAGGTTTCCAGCTCCCTATCTCTCCTATGAATGGTCGCACAATTGCGATTAAACCGTCGGGGTGTTGCCCTGAAGAGGTTACGAAGTTGCCTCGAACTTTTTGTTTGTTTGTTTATTTGTTTGTTTGATTCCACGCTTCTTTTTATTGAAAAAAAAAATTAATTAATCCACAATCCCTGTAGGAAAATGTGTAGGTTCGTGAAACGCTCGCTTTCCCTTTTAAGTCAGTTTTGGAAATAACAAGCAGGGATGTAATCCTTAGGATGTGAGAAAAGGGGCTCGGGTTTAGCCGGATGGTGACTGTCACACGTGAGTTCTGGGTTCATTTTTCTGCAAAAAAAAAAAAAAAAAAAAAAAAAGCCAAAAAAGGGAGCAGGGTTTTACGTATGGAGGGAGAACAAAGGCTTGCTCCTTGCAAAGTTTGCTGCTGTTGGACATGAGTGTCCCCATCAGCGCTGTGCACATCTACCCCCAGGCAAAGCACGTTGGACTTCAAGCTTGTAAGTCAGCCCAGCGAGGCAGACCCTTACTATTCACACATCCTACCTGGTTACCCCTTCTACTACTTGGAGAGAGCTCTGAAATTACTTTCAGCCCAGAACACACCGTTGGAATATTTTCAGTCTGTTCTCAAGGTTTTTTTTGAGGGCCTCTGCTTTGGGTACCTGCTGAGAGTTGATGTGATTTTTTACTGTTGCACGCGAGAAAATGGAGTGCAGAGGGCAGGGCCCGGTGATGCTGAGCTCTGAGCAGACACAGTTTAATTAATTTAACAGTCCTACACTTGTTCTGCTTTTCGAATGAATGAATGCTTTCTATGTAAGGATCATTTCATTCATCCCCATACGGGACGGAGGGGAAAAGTAATAAATAGCAGAAAACCAGCATGAGAGTGAAAAATACTGTGTCTTCTCAAAACTAGATTTCAAAGAGAGAAATTAGGGAGACGGCGTAGAGCTGTCACCCTAGGTGATGTTCAGAGCAGCTCTGCTGCTCTAGCAATTCACAGGGTCCACACGCAGTTCCACACCTCATGCAGAGGGAAAAACAGAAGGGGGAGAGACAGTGACCACACCATCACCAGAATGCAGTTCTGATCTGAACATCACTCCAGCACGAGGGAACGTACTTATTTTCTGTGCGTGCTGTTTGCTGACGTGCTCAATTTTTGTCTTAAAGTCGCCGATGACTCCCAAATGCTCATGCTGAAATAGAAACGTCTTTTAAGAGGGTTTAAGCATTTTGGTTTATGGCAGACCTTGAGAGAGAGGCTGTGTTTGTAAACCCATGCAGAGAGCAGCACCTCGCAGCCTGGGGCAGAGGTGAGGAGCAGCCACAGAACTTCTCCTCCATCATCCCAAACTGCAGACCTCATCCAAGTGCCTCCCTTTGTTTCAGGCCCTTGTAGCCTGGAGCACTTGTTGAACCTGACGACAAGTGCATCAAAGTGGCTGGCAATTATGAAATAAACAAATATCATTTGAGGCATTTTGGAGCCGAATCCAGTAATACATAGATTAGCTTATTGATGTCGTTATCGCGCCAAATATTATTCATACTGCTGATATTTCTGCTGTGCAGTAGCATTCCGCACTCAGCACACATCACATTATCTCGCTATGCAAAAGGCTTCATTAATCACACCAGACAATGGGCCAGGCATTCTCCCTTTGAGCCGGGAGTTTTGGATCTTCAGTCTTTTCACCTTACCTAAATGCCTCATCCCTGCCAACATGGAAAGCAACTCTTCAGAACAGATCTCTCTCAAACACGGCGCTAAAAGGGAAATGTTATCATGTTCAGTTGAAAGAATTTCTCGCTTGTTTTATATCCTCCTTTCAAATTTTTTGTGATTTCTGGAGTAGAAGTGGGACAGGCGGCAGGCAGGAGGGGAATGTGCTCACAGCACTGCTGTTTTCCAGAGAGAGGATCTGGGCAACAATACAGAACCAACTCGCCTTGGCACCAAGGAGCAGGCTCTGAAAGAGAGGCAGGGTGCTCCCATTGATAGGAACACTCTCAGGTGCAGCCTCCCGTCCTACTGAGGCATAAGATCTGCACAGAAGGACATCAGCATCGTTTCAGTGGGAGCAACAGAAGTCAAAGTAGTGTTTGCACAGGGCGCTCCGTGGTGTAAAGCAGGCAGATGATGTAAGGTCAGACAGGACTCGAGCCCTCTGATGGCTTGCTCTGAGTGGTCCGGCTCAAATTCAGCCTTGCGTCTCACATCTCAGAAAACCTAAATTCAGTTCTTATTTCTCCAGGGACGGGAGAGCTCAGCACTGCCAATCTACTCGTCCCTCTTCAGACAAAAGCAGCCACTTCAATGGAGACTAGAAGCTGCTGGTTAATTCCTCACGTCTACATCTCAAACAGCAGCGACTGTGAATCACTGAGACCCCAGATCGCCCCGATACCCTCTCAGACTCATGGCCTTGGAGCAGCCAGAGAAAGGCTGGGCATACAGGATCCCTTCTGGTCCACTGACGACAACATTACTAGAGACTTTCAATGATTTCAACAGGCTCTGGATAAGGCCCTTACATTCTTAATAAACACTGTATGGCTTTAAACACTGTATTCTTGTTCTTAAGTTTGGTATTGAATCAGGTGTTATCAGTGGCTCCCGTGTTAACAAGTTCTTGCTGGAGGAACTCATTTCACCTGTCCTGCTGGCAGCAAACACTGTGCTCTTCAGTAAGACAATGTCTTTTCTATTTATGCATCAGACGTGGGGAATAATAGGTTTCAAGGAACTGCAACGTTCAATAAAAGCGTTTTATTACATTTAAATTTATTAAAATTTAAACATTAAATTCAACATGTTAATTACTGCTTCCACGCGTTGACACTGGCAGTCAGAAATGGATCCACACAACTGCTCTGCCGAGATATGTTTGCTGGTGTTATTTGCTCTTTGATTACTAATGTATTATTAGTGCTCTTCATTTGGGACTTGATTCATTAACAAAAAGACGTATATGGGCATTATGCAAATTTTTTGTATGCCTTTTACATAGCTACCAGGGCCTGCATTATAAATCTAATTGAAAAAAAAAAAAAAAAAAAAAAAAGAAAAAGAAAATATATTCAATTCTGTTCTGGCTTGTGGGCAAGCCTCAGTCAAATGTACAGTTGCTTCAGAAACCAAGGCAGAGCACAGAGGAAAAATCCCTTTTCAGAACGTCTCTGGCTTTCTGCAAATCCCCTTGCAGTGAAATCAAACAAAACCTCTGGGCTGCTGTGCTTTGACTGAACTGACAGGATGGTGGTGAAGAACTGAGATCCCACAGCCAGATGATTGCTGCAGTGAGGTACAGCCTGCACCTTTCAGGGTGCTGCTAAATCTCCAGGGGAGAGCGGGATGCTAAAAGCACACATGGCTTCCTTCCTAAATTAGAAATGATGGATAAAGCTGTAAGATTAGTGCACATCAATCCCTTCGTTTGAATTGAGAGATACCTTCATTTGGCAGCTATTGGGGAAAAAAACCCGTCATTTCATTCAAAGTGCATTTAATAAGACAGAACGAGACAGATTTCTTTGACAGTTTTACAGCTCTTATCAGATTACATTAAAATTAAATTAAAACAATCTAAAAGAAGTGTTAAGTACTAAAGGGAGAGCACAAACAAAACACTTCTCTTTGTAGGCTTTCAGGGACGGGGTACTGACGTGAGTTATCAGGGACGGGAGTAATAAGATTATTCTTCAGTCAATTACGAGCCCATCAGTGTCAGCACGGAGGATCTCATCACAGAACTGACTTACAAAGCCTCAGAGGACGCGAGCACAACTCTGCACCCATGGAATAAATGGTCAAGGGGCATAAAATGGGAAATATATTGGAGTGGCCAGGCGACAGCTCCTCAGGACCCCCTGGGCCTCACGTTTGCTTGGCGTTGGGTCACAAATAGAACATCAGCAGGGCTGGCACGGTCTGAGACAAACCGTGCGGTCCTACAGGTCCCTCCTCCCGGGCCGGACGGCTGATTCCATCCAGCTGAGACCTGGAAGTCTCGGTTGGGGAATAACATTTTCCAGTATGTAAATATAATATACGCTCACAGCTTCTGATTGCAATAGAAGGGTTTGAAAGTTTTGATATTATTTTAGCAAGCGCAAATATTTTCAAAAGTTGTTTAGTCTTCCAGAACCGAGCCTGGTATGTCACCGGTACGGGTTTGACAAAGCCAAATTCTTTGCCTGTTTTGAAAAATAACAAAATTGTAGTATATGAAAGTGTTTTCTTGTTCAAATGCCATGTAGCATTTGACAGTTTTCTGCACTGACAATCAGCGATGCATTCAAAGTATGTGTCAGGCTGACAGGGCGTTTCATGGCTGACATTTGTAAGCAGCAAGTTTTTAGTGCCTCACCTCGGTGTCAGAGGGGAGATTATTTACTTTGACGTAGATATTAGCAATACGAGCTCTTACCGGGGACTTTAAAAAAAAAAAAAAAAGAAAGAAAACGATTTAACTACGAAGCTGCTATAAAAACCTTATTATTTCCAAGCAGCCAAGGGGCCGCTCCACTTGGAGCGCTGAAACCCCACACTGAGAAGCGGCGGCTGAGGTAGGGGGTAAAACACATCCCGGGGTAAACTGTGCCGCTTTGGGAACTGAGGCAAAGCCAGCCCTACGTTTTGTCTGTTGTCTCTTGTGGAAGTGCGGAACGGCGCTGTGCAGTGAATGACACGTATTTGCTTTCAGGGCGCGCTCGCACAGGAGGGTTGGGCTGCGCTGGGCGCCTCTGGCGGGGCAGCTCCACGCGCTCCGCTTCTACGCTCCCCGCTCTCCACACAACACAACCCCGCTCCCCCCCATCCGCACAGCGCGGCGCGGCCTTCCGGGGCGGGGCGGGCGGGCGGCGCGGGGCAGGGCGGGAGCCGTTGCGTTGGTCACGGCCGTAAACAGCGCGGCATGAGCGGAGCCGGCCGGGCGGCGGGCGGGCCGTGCCCCGAGAGCTCCCCGCCACGCAGCCAGCGGCTGGGCGGCCTCCTGCGGTGCCTCCGAGAGAGGTGAGGGGCCGTGGGGCTCGGAGCGCTGGGTTTGGGTGTCGGGGAGAACGAGCTGGGATTGTTTGGTGTGGAGGAGAGGAGCTCGCTGCGCTCTGCGAGTTCCTGGAGGCAGGCTGTGGGCTCGGCCTCTTCTCCCGGTTGGCCGTTCCAGGCGTTTATAACGCTGGTACTCAAATGGTGAGAGGCTCTCGTGTGACAGTTCTTATATTTCTTTATCTTCCTGCTAGACAAGCTCTGCATTATGTACTCAGGTGCTGCCTGTCTGCTTGCTTCTGTCTGTATTGCTCGCTCATGAGAAAATATGTGACGCAATGCCAGCAACTGAGCTAACTAATTAATGACTTTTTTAATCCTTTGCCTGTTTTTGTTAATTTTGCGTGTACTCTGTGAAAAAGCTTTTCTTCTTGTTCTAATTTCCCAGTGAAATGAGGTGTGTATGCACCCAGAGTATCTCCTAATAATTTGAAATTATTGGCCAGATTCAGTCAGAGCTGCAGGATACAGAAGGCTTGGAGTTCATGAAGATGATGAATATAAATTCGTGGGAAGCTGGGCTCTTCTAGACTAGTTACATCCCTGGAGGTGTTCAAGGCCAGGTTGGATGGGGCCCCAGGCAGCCTGGTCTAGTATGAGATATGGAGGTTGGTGGCCTTGCCTGTGGCAGGGGGATTGGAGCTTGGTGATCCTTGAGGTCCCTTCTGAGCCAGGCCATTCTGAGATTCAGGACAGACCTGTGAGCGGGATGCTGGCAAAGCATGCTGGGAGAAAGGAAGCAATCCTTCATGAACTAGCAACGTGCTGCCTGTGGTACTGGAGAATGAGAAATAGGAGAGATGCCAATGGCATCTGCTGACTTTTACATCCATCAGGATATCGCAGTGTTCTTCATCGAGTCATGAAAATTACTTCTAGAAGTGTAAAAACAAGATCTTGAAATCTGCTTTTGCTTAGCTGTCCATCATGTAAAAGGAAATTGAAAGGATGAGATCCTAGATGAAGCGTGGCTTTTAAATTGCATACATGACATGAAAACGTAATCTTGCTTCAGACAGTGGCAGGATCAGATGGGTAAAATGAATGCCTTGATCTCACAGGCTGCAGAGGAGGAAGGCTTTCCTCTGTGCGGGGCAGCTGGGAGGAGGTGGATGTGTGTGGCTGTGACATGAACTCGTTTGTAGGCAGCACAGATACATGGAAAAGCATGCCTAGCCACGTGGGTGCATACAGCCCTGACCATGTTACTCTCACATGTACAGCCTTCCTACCCAGAACAAATCTGTGATCATTTTTTAACACAAAAACAGACTTAAAGAACTTGCTTTGATTGTTGCAGGGTTTATAATTCAAATTTACTGGGAGCCATTGACTTATCAATTGGTAATTTTTGCTCATGGGATGGTTTCTTGCTTTCAGGAATGGATTGTGGTTATTATCACTGTTATTCTTTTCTCCTTCTGAAAACAGAGGTTTTTTTTCCTAAGCAGCCCAGTCCTCCCCATGGGCCTTATGTCCCCATGTGTTTTGGGTGTTTAAGTTATAAAATAATCGTGTCTTATCATATATCGTATGTTTTCTTCTAGTGAAACCAGAAGACTAGAATTGGAAAGGAAACTGCTAGAATACAAAAGTTCTGATGCATACCTGTAAGCCTGATTTCAAAACTTTTCATTGGTTGTTTTATTTTAGTTACTAAGACTTCAGTTACTGGTGAAGTCACTTATGTTAACATAGCTACCTTATTCTGCTAATACTGAATGTTACTATCTTAACATCTGGCATGCATGTTAGTTTTGTGCAGTGTTTGTGGAGTCATTGTAGTGTGAAATATAGAAGGTGTTTCCTTCCTAGTGCTCTGTGCTGCCGTTAACATGTCACAGGATGCCTGGAAGTTTTAGGAAGTGCTAAAGGATATTCTGGGTTCTAATTTTGCTCCCTGGATTGTTTCTACATTATCTATTTAATGCAAGTTACACATGCAGTCTGGAATTAAGAAAAGCTTAAATAGCCATGTGGTATGCTGGCTGTGCATCTGGACTGGATGTTCAGAAATTCAGATGCCTTATCTGGACACAGTTGTATGTAACATGTGCCAGGTTATAAGCATTGCTGGTGACAGCCCTTTTGAGAAAGACTAAACCATTAAAGCTGCAAACATGTCCCACATTACCCATTCAAATTAATATATTGTGTTTGCTTCTCTTAATAATTGCATTTATCTCAAAGCTTCTCCCTTCTTCCTCTCCTTTTTTTCACACGTAAGCCACGAAATTCCTGTCTCACGCAGCTTAGACAGAAGGTTAGCAGTTTCTGGAACTGATAGCTCTCCAGTGAGCATATGGGCATCAAAAGATCCTAGCTCTCCTGAGTAGCTCTGAGGGGGTTATGAGCTTGAGAAGTATTGCAACGTAGATCTATTTTTAAAAGAAAATATTATGAAAGGGGCATGTTGTGTCTTTGAAACAGTGACTGTGGTGTCTGCGTGGATGGAAGTCTCCTAAGATGCTGGGAAAGGCATCTGGAATTCTAGAGAGGAGCAGAATTTCAGGCATTCTTGTTTGTAGTGCTTTGGGTTTTTTGTTTTTTCCTCGAGTGTGTTTTGTAAAGTTCACAGAAGTGCCTTTTCAGTTGTGGCTCAAGTGAACGGTGGGTAGGTGCAATTATGGCAGAATCCCTCAGGGAATGCTCTTCTGACAGAGGGCCTTTAGATTAATGTCAGAATGTAAATACAAGAAAAAAGCCTGAGCAAGTGGGGCTACATACGGCGCTTTATTTTCGGAGTTACTTATTTGAATCCAATGGATTTTGAAAGTGAATCTGTTTGTTTGGGTGGGTGAGAAATGGTCGAGGTGGATTTCCACCTGGATTGCTCCTGGCCCAATTTGCTGTGTGGGTGCAGAGCAGGTGGTATCAGCACAGAGAAAGAAGGAAGGCTTGGAGTGAGGCGCACCACCTGGAGCAGCACGGATTTAGGTTGGCAGCCTTCATTCACTGTTTGACTCGCCGTATGCATTCTTCTAAATGCCACTTTCATTTCAGACATGTTGCATTAATTCCAAGCAGACTTATTTAAGTTTTAAGTATATATATTTATCCTTTTGAAGCAAAAGTTGTGTTTAAACTGTAGGTTATACAGTTTGTTGTATAGCTTTGGCGCTCAGGCAGTTCCTGTGCCAGAATTTACGTATGTGTCTGAAGAAAACTGTGATGGATGTGTTGGTTTTAATTTCCTGCTGTTTAAGTACACTTTCTTTTTCCCCCCTTAGAATGAAACTAAAATATGTGAAGCTGAAAAAGTACTTGGAAGAAGTAAATGAACGACAAAAAAAAGCTCTTCTACGAAATCAGGCGTTCTTAAATGAATTCAACGAGTTTGAGGCGCAGATGAAAGCTTCGAGTTCAGACCTGATTGAGAAGATGGGAGTAACTTTCTAGAAGACTTACTAATATGTTACTACGGGGGTTGCTGAACTGATTTTGTCTATTTTGTACATCAGGATGTTGGTCTAACTTCATCCCCTATTTTAGAGTGCTCTAAGTGCCGATGTTTGGGAGTTATCATTAACATTATCTAGGTTAGGTCAGAAAAAGACCTCGAGTTGCAACGTTTTCATAGAGACTTTGTTATAAAACCCCTAGTAAAATATAATTTTATTACTTAAAACAATCCTAATGCATCTTCCTTGAAGTTATTTCAGGGTATGTTTCTAATCTTGCTGGTGTGATTGCCCTAAGTAGCCACAGCTAATTTTACTGCTGCTCATCACACCGTTTTCATCAACAAAGGTGTCACTGACTCTCCTGTTAAAACAAATTACCCTGTTGGAACTGTTTGGGCTGAAGCAGATCTACAACAAGTCGCTATTGGTTCTATTTACTGAACAGTTAAGTGGCAATACTTGAACAGTGTTAAGAAAAAGAGCTTCTTCCAGCAAACCGTTGCATCACTCAGGTCTTTTAATAGTTTTGTATGTAAACAGATGTGGTTCATTTGCTTTCAGAGCTGAAAAATGCTGAACTTTTTTCTGGGTTGGTGAAGTAAAATTCAAGGAGCGTTTCATCACCTTGTATAATTGAAGTATTGATATTTTGTGTCACTTTACCCAGGAATAATATGGGATGTTGCAAGGTAATGTGGATTGGAAGTGATCTTAGGTTTAAAAAAGGGAAGATGATATGCCATTGATAGATGGAGTCAGATTTTGGAGAGCTGAAAGTTAAAACGTTTACTGGGAAAGAAGTGTTCTATCCTCTTGCTAAGAGAAGTAGCATTCTTTAAAAGCATTTGGCAGGGGTATTCATGCAGCTGCAGGTGGTTTTTTTTTTCTCTTTTTAAGTTTGCTAGAATAAGGGAGGAGAGGAAACAGGTGAGGTGTTTTAAGCCCCCGTTTGATGCTGACACAATATTGGGTGGCTGTCTACAATTCAGCTGTGATTGCTTCTCTGAAGTGCACTTTGAATTCAAACTGGAACAGCCTTATCCTAGTGTACAATTTTCCTTCTGTTCCCCTTCAGGGATCCATACAGCTTCACCTGAGATAGCAAAATGTAGACTATGATCCTTTTAAAAGGGGCTATCTAAAAAGCCTGTGTTCAGATTGCACTGGCACATCTCCCTTTAAATATTCTTTGGAACTTCTCTTAATATTTTTGGAAGTACTATTAGAGCTTAACCTGAAGTAGGGATGCAGCAGCAGCAGCATGCTTTATTTTTTTCTTTCTTACTGTCTGGTTTGGCTTTCACTCGTTGCGTTGCAGCAAAGGGAAGGCAGCCTGCGTATGCAGTTCTTAGAAAAGTTCATTTCAATAGATAAATGTGCAGATTGAGATGCGAGTCTGCTCTTTGGACAAATCTTTATTGATATTGGTGTTAATGGAGTGTTGACTCCTCTTTAAATATGAGCTTTGTCATGCCAGTATAATGTGATAAATCCTACAGAGAAACTTTGTACTGTGGTTAAGAAAATATTTCTTCTTTAAGTTAGTTGTCTCTGATTTCAGGAAACCTTGTTTTTGCATTAAGTAGATTGAGTAGTTGGCCCATGTTAGTCCTAATGCAATGTATTAACCCTGCCCTCCCTGTTCATCTTAAAGTAAATAGCCCCAATCTATTTTCTCCCTTCGTATGGAAGATTTTTATGGTTGTAATAATTTTTAATGCTTCTTCTGGAATGCGTTTAGAGAAGGGGCCATGAGAACTTCTTGTGTTGATTAACGCTCCTTTAAAACACCATTGGCTTTGCACTTGGGTTTCTGGTTCAGAAGGTCACTTTTGTGTCATTGTTGACTTCAGTGTACAGAAGAGGTGACCTGGGGCTGTGATAGCTGCCCTTCCTGCTGCTGGCAGTAAGGAAGGTGTAGCTCTCTCCCATGGTGCTGATTGATTTCTGCTCTCCCAAACCCCACGGCTGCATACCGCATTCATAACTGCCTTGCCCAGTACCTCCCAGCCGTTGTCTGCTAACTTCCCTTGCCTGCTGGGTTTGGGGAACAATTTCCTAGCTTCAGCTTGCTGATGTACAGTTTATAGACTGTCCCAGGTGTGAGTCCTCTGTGCTGCTTTTTTTGTGAGGCTGGGAATACCTTGATGCTAGATCTTCTTTTTCCCTTTTCTTAATTTTTTTTTCTTCTTGAACAGCCCTAATGCCTACTAGTTTGCCTTTCACTCTTCAATAGGTTGTGTTGGTGTGAATCCCAGTTGTGCCCTGGGCTGATCTACACACAATGTTTTCATTCAGGGCTTCCATGTTGCTGCTTCTGCACCATCTATTTTATTTTTCCTAGTTCAGGCTTATTCTCCTCTGAGCTGCTGAACAAAGCACTGATTACAAACCTTCTGTGCTGCAGTTATGAAAAGCCCTCTCGTTGTGGATTATTTAAGAGTTATGAAGCATGTCATCATTTAATCTATTGTGGAAGTGCACTGATAGGAATTACCTTTTTTTTTGTTTGTTTGTTTTTATAGCACTCCTTAGGAGTGCTTTACCATGACTATTTATACGATTTATTACGTGCTGTGGCTGAGGGGAAAAAAAAAACTTAGTTGTGAGAGATTTGGTGATTTTTTTATTTTATTTTATTTTTACTTTTTCCCATTTGTATGCCTGCAGTTTGTTCAGTAATTTTTAGGCATCTGTGTAAAATCACGTAAGCTTTCAGGAAAATCCAGGGCTTACATTTGAGTTTCTTTTGGGCATCGTTAGTTCTCTTGTGATCGATTTCTGTTCCTTAGAAGTTTATGTTTATGATTTTATGAGCAGCTCTCGTTACCTGGAAAGTAAGGCTTGCTGAGTGCACAGTTGGAATGAAGTGCAAGGCTGGCTAAGTTAATTGTTCTGAAGATTTATCTTCATGCATATTACCTGATGCAGAATAGGTATTGAAGTGCTTTCATTCAGTACCAGTGTAACTTGTTATTGGTGTTTACAATTACGAACAAACAGGATTAATTATAGGTGCTGCATGTGCCTGGCTTTTAAGCAGTAGTCCTACTATGAATGCATTACGTTTGGTCAATTAAACAATGTAGTGGAGGTGAGGACGTTTTATGCAGTTGTTTGTTAGCAACACGACAGCAAGTTGCCTTTCATGCTGGGTTGCTCTTCATAACATCTGCCATGTATTTTTCCTTAAAACGGCTCCGTGAGTTGCAGGGTGCTGTACACAACCCAAATTGTGAATTTCATTTGATGCAGTTGTCTGATAGAGCAGGAGTAATTGGATGTACTCAGTCAGAATTTGGTTTTGTAACATGAGTCAACAAGTTATTGCTGTCCTGTAGACTGTTAGATGAATGAGTAATGATCTACAATCTCCAGCAGTTATTTTTTTTATTCACAAGCCTTGCCATTTGCTCAGGGGGGTGAAAACAAGTGAAAAAGGATGCTCAGTACACAGTTTGCAAAGCAATATTTGCTCATCTGTGCTTTGTTCTTTTGGCCTTCCATGTAACGTAATGATTTGTTCACGTTTAGGTACGGTGTGGAAGAGAAATTAAAAGTGGGCTGTTGTTTCGAGAGGGTGGCTTGGCACAAGGTGACAAGGAAGAAGGCTGCAGTGAGCAGGTAATGTGGGAGTGGAGGTGGTGGAAGGGGGGGGGATAAAAATGTGTGTTATTCCCCTAATGTTCTTTCCACTGAGCGACTGTGTTAAGAGGCAGGCGCTGCTAAGCAGCCTTTACGTGGGGATTCTGTGCTGTCAGCTGTAGTGTGAAATATTGTTTAGAGCCTGAGTGAAGTAGAGAACCTGAGTAAAAAGTGCAATTATTTCAATCAAAGAGCTAGAATTAAAAAGGAAGAGGAACTCTGAGTGTTCGTCGTTGTCTTTGTGTCGGTCTTTATAATTTGTGTGCTGAATAATGTGTGAGGGGTATTGACCAAGCAGGAAATGTTCTTAATGAACAGTAATTTAAAAAATGCAGCTATTGATTCTCGTGGTGTATTTATAATTTTGCGTTCTGACCTTTTCTCAGAAGAAGCAAAAAGAGATTGCCTATCTAAGTAACAGACAAAAAGACTGACAAGGAATACTTAAATATATTCTGCTATATATCTGCAGTAATGCAGGCTTCTAATCCCTCCTCCTATCTCCATATAAATGATACAGTTCAAGACCATAGCTGTTTTCTTCACTAAAAGCAGTAAAGCTCTTTTAGATGAAATGTCTAAAAACATCTTGTAATAACTTGGAGCATGCTGGCAAGAGTAGTCACTTGTGACTATGTGTGAAACCCCCTCAGCTAGTCGATATTGTAATAAGCAAAAATGGTAGCATCACTCCATTATTCAGAAAAGCCAACAGCATGCTTGTCCCTTAGGCTACAGCATTCATTAAGAAAAGCTTACTGGGCTGAAAGCTGGAAACAGATGATAACGGGATATGATTTTCATATTTAATGCATTCCTTGGAAGAGTATGTGTGCTGCAGATTGATAGAAGAATCAACTGCTACTTTACTAAAAGACTTTCTAGTTTGCCCTATAGCTACCGATGGAATCATTCAGCCAAGAAATTAACTTTTTCTCCTTTTACCTGCTTTATATATCTGCTAAGCAGGCTGCCTGGCTGCCAGTAAACGTTATTATGCAGTTAAATGTTTGGTATTTAAGACTCTTATCAGAAAAGAAACAGAGGCCACACTATTTTGTTTTTATAGTAGGAGGAAGGTTTTTGGTTTTCTTTTTTCAGTGCATTAGCAGTCGTTAATCTGAGTTTATAGGAAGTTTTGCCCATAGATTAAAAAGTTAAAAACCTTGAATTTAGAGCATTCTTTAAACTGTAATATACAAAGCAATGAGCCTGAGCAACCTTGACCTATATAGGCAGGCCTCCAGCCGTTTGTGAATTAGGTTTTTAATTCAGACGTGTGAAAAGGTGAGTTCAGTTTTGAATAATTCTACAATTAAAAGTGGTTGGTATGGGAGATGTAATTTCTAACCTGTAGGAAAGTTGTTTTCACATCAGTACTAGAACATCAAGAGGCCACAGCACAACTTAGATTTTGAAAATATTGTGGGCAGTGTGAGAACTTGGTGTGTACCCAAATTCATACACTGAGTTACAGTGATCTTGTTGGTGAACTTCCTTCGCTCTCCACTTCTTGCTTCTTATCTCCATTCTTAAGTGTGAAGGTAAGTTCAGCTAGGTAGCTCAGCTTGTGAGCAGGTGATGATGCTCAGGGTCTCTGTGCAGTGTGTTAGAGACCAAGATGGACAATTACAGAGCCAACTTTCTAGAGAAGGTCAGGGTCTCTTGGCCCTAAAGCAGCAGTGTGAATAGCTTGCTCTTTTCGGAGCTGTTGGGTATACTTCTGGATTTCAAAATTCTGGGGGAATCCTTAAGCTCAGAAATCATATACCTAAATAGAGATCATCTGGAAAACCTTGGTTCTCCTTGAAAAGGATTTAAGCACCAGTATTTTGAAGCCCTGTGTAATGGCAGCCCTATGTTACATGTTCTAGGAGAGGTGCTGTATCGGAGGGATCCTTGGCTGAAAGACTGGTATAATTTGGGGTTCTGATATCCTTGTGCAGTGAAGTCCAATTTCAAATTGGAAATGATTTCTTGATATCCTTGGTCTTGTGCCTCTTAGGAATGCTGTGTCTTTTGGATGCTGGGTGTAGGACACCTCCTGAGAATACCGGAGTGGCTGAGCATCCTTCTCTAGGCCAAGGGCACAACCAGCTGAGAGCAGTGCTCTGTGTCTGGAAAAGGCAGGTTTCTAGCTCAGCATCTCCTTGCTTGCTAAGGTGGTCACTGCCAGGCAGAGGCACTACCTTCTTACACAAACTGATGGGAGGGATTTTTTTAATCATCCTTACTCTCTTCGAAGTACTTTAATAATGATAAAAAAGATTGGTAGTGGAGGAACAAGTGGGGAGCCTGCACGTTCCCTCCACTCCACAGCCAGAAAGAGTACTGCAAGTGTGCTTTGTGAGAGATTTTGTTCAGCTCCCAGCTGGAGTGACACGAAACTGATAGTTTTGTTTGCTGTTTTAGGTGGGTCATCTACACGTTTTGCTTCTGGTGGTAAAAGCTGTACCTAGGCCAACTTTATCTGTTGCTCCAAGGACGTAAAGGCAGTGAAGAGTTGTTGTTTTTCCCTGTAAACAAGAAGAAGCCTGCTGGAGATGTACTTCTGCTAAAGCTCTGTAAAGCACTTGTACCTGATTGAATTGCATTTGTTTTGGAACACTAAACTCAGGAGCTGCTAAATCCACACAATACCTGCTAGATGTGTTTCAAAGCAGCAAGTCCAAGCCCCCAGAAGTAATTAGGAGGAATCCAAGAGCAGTGATGATAGAATAAGCTGTGAACTTGATCTCAGTAGCAAACCTTTACTTCTTAAAATAACTTCATGGCTTTTTGTTTTGCTTCTTGTTAGGTGGAATTTGAGCTTTTTAATGAAACGGACGCACACTAGACAAGATGCTTTTGTTTCCCTTAAGCTGGGCTTGGCAGCTGACTTTGTGTGGTAGGAGGAGGTCAGCCAGCAAGAGAGAGAGGAGGGGGGTGTGGAGGTGACTGTAAATTGCCCTGCCATGATTTGGAGCTGAACAGCAACCTGTGCTTAGTATGAACAATGGCACTGTGGTAGCTAATTTTGGCTTTGCATAAACTGGCAGTGACCTTCTGGAGGTGGCAGCAATTCCTTCTGGTTTTTTTGTTCTTTTTTTTTTTTCTGGTTGAGTAAGCTTTCAAAGAGTTAAAAAAAAAAAAAAGTGCCAAGACCCAGGAGTGTAGAAGTGGAGCATTTATAGTGTTGGAATGATTTTTATGCGAGTTCAGCTGAGTTCCTGGGTGAAAGTGTTGTTTGAAATGTCTCTGCTTGGTTCCCAAAGTTGTCTTGTGGAAAATACAATTCCACCTACTTGTGGTGAGCTCAGTTCTTCCTGTTGGGTGTGGGTCAGCTGGAGGAAAGAACAAAAGACAATGAATCACATTGTTGTTTGGCTGTGTTTTTTTGTTTGTTTGTTTTCCTCAGTCTTCCTTGCTATGTTAATATGCAGCGAGCAGACCTGGATATATAGACGAATGATGGCAGATGGAGATTTCAGACTCTCCTTGTCCTGTCACCTTCTCAAGAAGAGTCATCTCTGCCATGCTTCTTGCCCAAGAACATCTCTTGCCAGTGCTGGTCAAAGCAGGGTGCTCCACTGTGCAGATTGGTCCCACTACTGGTAGAATTGCTGGGCATGACACAAGTAGAAAGCAAAGTCGAATACTAGGCTGCAGTGAGTGGTGAAGCTTGGGTTGGCGAAGGAGGGTGACTCTTAGTGGCTGCATTCAGTGACCAGTGGGCTCTGCAGGATGACAGAGGGCTAGGGGCAGTGTCAGAGGTGGGATCTGGGACTCCAGCAGCAGCAGCTCTGCAGCTGGTCCAACAGAAGGATGCACAGAATGAAGTGCCAACTTTCTGGCAGCTGACACTTCCTGCAGTGTGGGAGATGACGCTCATCATCTTATTGTAGTATTAGCCATATGCAGGATTCTTTTTTGGCAGATACTTTCAATGAGTTGTGCTTATTTTCAGCTGTGATGGGGTAACATGTACCAGATGTACTGGGCTCCACCTTTTCTGATCTCTAGAAGCTGGCAAATTGGGATGCAGAATTCTGCAGAAAGAGTGTTCACTACCTCAATTTACTTGAAAACAAATGGACAAAAGAACATGTTTTCAATGAAGGAAACTAATATTATAGAAAAATCCCTTCAGAAACTAGCACACAATCCTCAAGAAGCTTCATGTGCAGTGTGCTACCTGTTTGATTCTTTAACCATCTTGCACCTGTGTCTTCCAGATGCCACAGGCTGCAAGGCAGGCTGGAATTCATGCTGAAACAGCTGTGTCCAGAAGCTTGCATCACCCACTGCCATTCTTCGTGGGCCACTGCATGTCTGCCTGCAGTGTGCAGCAGGAACCCCCTCAGTCTGCTGCCCTCCCCAGCACACTGACAGCCTTGCAGGATGATGAGACAGATGGGCATCTCATGCAAGCTGGTGGTGACGTGCAGCATGCCAATAAGCCTGATGAGCAAGGTGGCAAGTCACGTATCCCCACGGGGGAGAAGATGCTCATCCAAGGCAGCAGCTTGCACAGCAGTCTTCTGAATTTCACAGAACAGAAAAATTCCACCGCACTCTGCTCAACGTTACCCGATGGAGGAAGTGTGCAGAGCAGGACTGCTGACTTAGCGAGGGACACATCAATGGGCGAGGTGGTGACCCACGAGCACCTGGTAGCAAGTGCCAAAGAAGTCTGTGAGCAGCCTGTCCTCTTGGCACCTGCCTCTGAGCCCAGCATCTCTGGTATGTGGGACTTCTGCTCCGTTGTGCTGCAGCAAGCTCACCCCAAACACGCTCTCCCTAAACACACACGTGCACACAGCTGATGTTTTTTTGTTTTTTGTTTTTTTTTCCTTCAACTCTTACACTTCAGTTAAAGAACAGTAGAATTCTCATTTGTTTTCTTTTTTTGTTCTTTTTCTCCTTTTTTTTTTTTTTTTTTTTTTTCTTGGCTGTTTCCTCCTAGGCTTTTCATCAACGGCTCACTGGGGATGAAAGCTGCTGGATTTTCATTTCTCAGCTGGGGTGTTTGAGGCTCCTGCTCTCTTTGCTCACCCCCAACAGCAGAATACCTGCTGAGTATCCCATGCTCCATCTTCAAGGTCTTAGGTTTTTGCTTTTCAGCTTGAGCAGACCAAAGTGGGGGAGAGGAGGAGGAGGAGGATGGGGATGTGCAAAGCAAAAACTGGCAGCGAGAGCTGAACCTGGGCCTTTTGCACTGGTGCCAGTCCTGCAGTGCCTCCTACAAGGCTGCCTTGTCCTGGAGGCCTACTTAAGATGGACCCCAAGTTTGAGAGAGGTCCTGCTGAGTACTCTCTGCCCTGCTGGATGACTATTCTGTAAAATAGAGCTTTGTCCCTCATTCATCCAAGGCACACTGCTCTTCTAGTTGATGTGAGGGTTGACCAAGTCTAATTTGAGAGCTGAAGGAAAGTGAAGACTGCTGTGCCTGCAGTTGTCTCAAAGTTGATTGAGCCTGTTTTTAAGAGGTTTAATGTCAGCTTACTTTACTGGCAAAATAGGGAACTTCTATTTTGGGTCGATTTCACTCTTCAAATGCTTATTCAGAATAGTTCACTTCTGAAAATCGGATTTGCAAATGTGGACCAAGAATCAGCACTTCCATGTAGGTGGCTAGATTAACTACTGTTTGTTCTGACTTGTTCCTGCTTTCCTGAGGGATGTGATGCTTGTCTTCCAGCTGGGTTGCACGTGTATGGGAATGGAAGGCTGCACTTAAAGGCTGCTTCCTACCATCTCACCTTTTCTTTTGCTATCATGGCAGAATGTTTTCTCTCCTTCTTTACTTTCAAGTAAGCTAACAGACTTGTTCTTCAAATCACACTGACAAAGATTTGTCTCTAAGTAACTTCCTTTGTTTCTTTTTTCTGTTTAAGACCTAGCAGGAATATCTTCCCCTGCCCTGCCAGTTGATACAGCAATTTCTAGCTTTTAAGTTTTCCAAGCTACACAGGAAATACTAAAAATGAGCTTTTCCTAATGGAAACCAGTGGCAACCCTAACATGAAGGGACTTCTATTCTGTAACGATCATGGTTTTCTTTATAGTCAATAGCTGGCATCTCCACCAGATGATCTCTGGTAGATTTATTTTTTCTGGCATCCTTTCTTAATTTTTTTCTTTATTATTATTATATTTCCATTTCTTTATCCATTCCTAAATAACTTCTCTCCCGATGTTTTCTTTCATCTGATGCTGTTCCTTGTCACCGCTGTCAGGCTTTGTGCAGGGCTGGAAGGTCCTGGCATAAGCTGCCACTTGTCACAGCCCTCAAGAACTGGGGCCTCAGGGAACCCATGCCTGAGTTGGGCTGAAGTGTTGGATGCAGTACCAGTAGCTGTGAATATTGTTTCGTTCAAACCCATGGGCATCTTTTATGGAAAACTGGGGATTTCTGTGGCAGTGCTTATTTATTACTGCAATAGTTGGTCCATTTAATTTTTGTCATTTAAGGAGAAAATGTTGTTATTAGGCACAGTTAGTGTCTGTACTCTTCTCCTTTAGAGAAGGTAACTAATGTGCTGACTTTAAAAACCACTGAAGTGTGTGTTTCTTCTGCAAGATTTAGGAAATGTGTGGACTCTCTGGGTGTATTTCCCCTCTCTCTATCTCCCACCCTATTTTCCCCAACACAGGGAAAGTTTTCGGAAGATTTATCATAAAAAAACAACAACAACAACCTTTTTAGGCTTGTCTGTTTCATTGCTTCTTCCAAGGCAATTTGGGGAGGTAGGAGATAATTTTGGGGTAGTGATTTTTAATGGCAGGGTTCGTTTTGGCTGGTCCTGAGCTGTGGTTGCAAACCCAAGCTTGGGAGCATGGCTGGGGCCTGCCTGAACTCCCCCTTGTGAGGGAAGTGCAGAAGGACACGGAATGTTGGGGGGGGCATGGGAAGCCCAGTGCAATCCCAGGTGGAGGGATGCTTGCTCACACCTTTGAGGTGAGAGAGTGCACCGAGTAGCTCATCCTGTCTTAATTTCATACATCACAGCATACAGATTCTGCTAATGTTCCGGGAGTAATTTTGTTATTACTTGTTTTTCCAGGACCCCAATGTAACCTGAACACCCAGCAGGCAGCCAGCCAGGCCAGCAGCAGCAGCAGCACCCACCCAGCAGAGGACTCCTCTTTGCAGCCACCCAGCTGCTGTGCAGCAGAGGATGAGCCCTTGGGCAGCTCGGTGCCTGACGGGTATGTCCTTCTTCCTATATATAGTATATATAGTATAGTATATAATATAGGAAGAAGAGACGGGCATCTCTTCTTCCTATATTTGTGTTCACCTATTGGTGGGTACTGATCTCACTGTCACTCCCTGTTTTAAGAGATGCTAGTTGAGCAGCTACGAATGGCCACCAATATACACTTGTGCAACTTTATCATTTCACATTTGCATCAGGCTGCTTGCTACAGAAACATCATCTCATTTACATCTAAATAGCTTACACACATTTTTTCTTGTGCGTGACACCTGTTAATCATAACATTTTGCGGGGAAGTTGCACAGGGTACTTGTCTTTGCTGGAGAAGTCATAGCTAAGTGGTGGTAATTTAATCTTTAGTTCTCTCCCTGTAGATGCCAGTGATGCCTAGCTGTTTAGGAGCTGACAAAAATACTGTGCAGTGCTCCTGAAGCCAGCTAAATTATGAGAAAGGTTTTAATGTTCGCTTTATCTCTGGAGCATGACTAAAACCAGAATGGGGAGTATCTCTTCTCACATCATGCTAAGCTGAATACCTTAGTTTCTCAAGGCCATGAAAGTGTGATCTCCACTGCTATGTGTATCTGCAGAAGAGATCCAAATTTAAATTTGTTTCAATGGGAAACTGAAATGCAGATAAAGTTTCAGAAATGGCAGGCATGAAAGATGCCGAGGAGCGATACGTAGCCTCTCTGTTGCTGAGTTGGTAACAAGTTCTTTCAAAGTCCTTCGTTCCAATGCACTTGAAATTCAGTGCGTGTGCCTGAGTCTTGCAAAGTAATTCATGAGCTGGAAGTCTTGAGGAGAAGTTTGCAAGTAATTAGAGTGTGGGCTTCGTTTTCATATACTGCTATGGATGCAGTTTGGATGTTGTAGCTCACTCAGCAACGAGCAAGATCTGTGCTGTCTATCAGGGAGTCCCAGGTTTTTGGGGAAAGTGCCTTACTTCAGAGACATCGTTGTAACAAGGTCTTTTTTTGAGGCTTAAGGAAAAGAAGTTGGTTTTTATTTTTTTTCCCCTTGGGAAGTGTTTGTATGTTGTATTTTACCACAGGGCAAGACTTTTTTTTTTTAAACTGAGTTTCAGCCTGCCTTTAGCAGCTGGAGGAGCACTAATCCTGATAACACTGTCAGGTTGCTAACCAAAGAGAGGCGATGCTGCAGGGAAAGGTCACTCTGTGCAGGCTGTGAGGCTTGCTGACAGCTCCTGGTGGGGTGATGCCACTTTGCTATCACAGTTATTAAAAATGGTGGCTGAACCAAAGCCCGTTTGTGCCGTGGGGCATCTCCACAGCCTGTGCTGCATCTGCAGAGCTCGATGGATGTCAGTCCTGCAGGGCTGCGTGCCTTTTGCCTCAGCCCTCCGGTGGGCTCTGTCCCTTTGGCATTCCTCAGGGTACCCTGCCCTTTATTCCAGGGCTTAAAAATGGATGGGGAAAGGGTCTCTGAGAATTAGCGTGCAGAAAGATGATGACTATTTTAAGGCCGGTGTTGAAGGGGTGGAAAAAGGCAGAGCTTATGCCTGTGCTGCTTCAGCTGCATTGAAGAGGACTTAGCACAGATGGATTGTGCATTACAAAATGTAACACATAATTCAAGCTGTCAGCTTAATCAGACTGTTTCCAGGAAGCAACCTGTAAAAGAGAAGGACCTCTTGTTTGCTGACCTCTGATCCGTAGCCTGCTGCAGATTGTCATACATTTTGTTTTTCTTTATGCTGGTGTCCCTTCCTTCCCCTTCCCTTTTTATTATTGTATCCCTCTCGAGTGGCACCCTGGAAAGACCACCCAGGGGGAGGGAAACAATAGGAAATGAGCTGGCCGCTGAAATACAGGTTTTGTAAGACTTTGGGGGAAGAAAAAGCACTGTTTAACTGTGTATGCGATCTCCCTGGCATTGTTTAGCTGATCAGATGTCTAGGAAACTCCACTCAATGCAGAGCAGCTCTCGCTTAATTGTTGGCTGTTGCTGAACAGACTGATAGAAAGCAAAACTTCTGCTGTATCTTAATGTAATTACAAAATCGTGCAGAGCTTTTAGTTGGTAAAATGAGGCTGGCTGTGTAGCTGTTGGCTTTTGCACAAAAACCTGGGTGCAGCCGGGCTCCTCAGGGCTGCTAGAGGCCTGGGCTGGAAACTGCCGCACAAAGCGGGCGGATCTACCCTTGGAAAGGCTCAGTCTGCTTTGCTTCACTGCTGGAGTCTGCACTTGGGTCGTTGTGCAGGTGCATCTTCAGGAAAAACTCTCTGAGGCCCTGTTCTGTCCTGCTATGGAGAACTCCTGTTCCCAGGGCTTTGGTTCTCCCTGCTGCAGAGCTCAGCGTCAGGTCCAGCTCCACTGTGCTGATGTCCTGAGCAGCTGACGTGGAAATGCTGCAGGGAATGCTGGAATAAAGAAGCTGATCATCAAAGGAAAACAGCACGTAGGAAAACGTAACATGCCTTTCTCAGTCTCCTTTGCTCATGTGCTCTGTATAGTACATATAAATAAAAAAAAGCCAAATCCTGATTCCTTTCTTACTGCTTGCAACCATTTGAACCTCCTTGTGATTTACAGCATCATTTCACTAACCATTTTTCTGAAGCATTCAGGGTTTTTCTGCATATTCTGTTTGACTTTGAAATATTCCATTTCCCAACAGCTGGATAGAAAAGGCTGGGGATATAAGAATTGCCTGGCTCCTCAGCTGGGAATGGGGAGTAAGTGTGGAAAAGACTTCAGTCTTAACAAACAAAGACGTCTGTGGGTTGCTTTGTTGATGGTTTATTTTCCATTTGTTTGTTTCTCTAAATTGGGATTTGCAGTGAAGTTGATGCTAGGTGCTGCCAAACAAATGCTGGTTCCTAAATGTATCACTTTTTGCAGCCCTGCTCTCTGCGTATGCAGTAAATTCTTATTTCCAGGAGGGAGAGCATCTGCTTAGAGGCTAATAATGCTTTGCCAGGGTACAGAGTAACAACTGGGAAAACAATATATTTGAGGTAAAAGAGCAAAAAAGTCACTGACCTCCCTCCTGTTAACAAAAGGAGGACCAGGTTACCCTGGCTGTCAGTCTGTGGCACTGTTCACTTAATTGCACAAGCTGGGAAGGGCTTTGTAGTCCTGTTTAAAATTAAATTTCAGACCCCTTGAGGTAGGGTTCCCATAAAGACCTAATTGTTGGAGGATTTTAAGGGACAACTGAGGAAGTGGCTGCAGGTGGACTTGACCTCCATACCTATTCTGGCTGTCTCTTTGGGCTTTAAATAAACTTCTCACCTGCTTTATTTTGCAGCTCCTGCAGCCAGGATAGCAGTCTGAAAGAAGACGTGGAGGCCAGTGAGGCAGCTGTCCTCTGTCAGCTCCCCAGAGCCAAGCCAGGCGAGCGGTGGGATGTGGCCACACTGCAGGCCTCGCTGAAGAGCCACGCTGCCTTCCTGGAGGAGCACGAGCACCTGTGCACTGAGGAGCTGGCCGCTGTGTCACACAGCACGCTGGATTCGGGCGAGGAGACACCAGGAAGCCAGGTCAGTTTTGGGGGTTTGGGGAGCCTCTGTGATCATGTCCTGAGGCTTTCCAGTGTACCCAGTGTGTTTGGTAAGTCATCGAATTATTATGGCTGGAGAAGACTACTGAGATCATCCAGTCCAGCCCCAGCTGACCCCCACCATGCCTGCTGCCCACGTCCCTCAGTGCCACATCCCACAGCTCTGGGACTCCTCCAGGTGACCCCACCGCTCCCTGGGCAGCTGTGTCAGTGCAGAATCACTTCTGGAGAAGGAATTGTTCCTAGCAGCCAACCCGAACCTCCCCTGGCACAACGTGAGGCCATCCCCTCTCGTCCTATGGCCGTTCCCTGCCAGCAGAGTTCGACCCCGCCTCACACAGCCTCCTTTCAAGTTGTAGAGAGCAATAAATAAACATAGATGCATACACCTGTGCATCTGTGTATATCTATAGAAATGTGCATGTATGAATATCTAAATAATTGACACCAAGGGACTAAATTGCACATGCAGTTAAAGTGAAGCAGGCCCTGTGCCTCTGAATGCTGCCCAGTACCTGGGTACTCAGGGAGGATGAGCGAGTAGTGCTCATTAATCCATCTTTGAGAGGGCTAGAAGTGTCTGTGGAGAGAACCTAGATTTTCTGTGTGTCTGAGGGCTTTTCCCCACGGAACAAGAAGCCCGTGAAGATCCTTGCAGCATCTTTTCCACCCTTTGGGCCTGTTGCTGATTTAAGAAGCTAACGCATTTTGTCATGGTGCAAATTTATCGTGAGGCTTATATCATCTGCCTTTCTCTGTGGCTTAATAGCTTTTTATCATGAATGATAGTGGGTTTTTTCTTTTTAAAGAAACAGAATTATGTTTGGTATGCTAAATCTGCTGAGCATTTTACAGATAGCAGCACGTGTGTCCTTCTTAGACTCTAACTGGGCATTTATAAACTAACTTCAATTTTTGTTGGAGGTTTTCTTCTTTACATCTGTGCAAAAGGAATGAGGGGCTCATTTCCAGAGGAAGTGGGTCACTGAAGATCCAAGTAATCCTGAGATGTATTCCCTTTACGGAGAAAGAAAAACATGTACACATACATCCATGTGTATATAAAATATGAAATAACACCAGTGCAAAAATATTTGCCGAACTTTTCTGCCCTCTAGTTTCTCGTGAGACATTAGCAAAGCAGTCCAATCTATTTTTTGAATGTTTTTGTTTTAATAATATTAGAAAAATACCTGTTGATGGCAGGTAAATGTATACATACATTTAAAATCTTCTACACAGACTTGTTCTAAGTCAAAGCTTAGTAACACAAGCTTTATGGGTAAATATATAGTAATGATCTGCTTACTGCTACACATTACTGTGGACCACACATGCCTTCAACATCTACTTTTCCATTTAAGAAAATCTGTTCAGTTAAATGGAATCCCATGATGCATTTTCCACATTGAAACACCTGATTTCCAAGCACAGAACGGCAGCAGTGCAAGTTGAGATTGAGTTGCCATGATGTGCTCCCAAATAAACATGGGCTTAATGAGGAGGGGGTGGATGCTGGAAGGAAAACCTTTCTTATAAGCTCCACTTGGTTTTGGTCTCAAAGCCTTTCCAGTTTCTCAGATAAGTGCAGATAGATGAAGTTAAAGTAGTTAGGATTATCTCTGAGATGTTGGCCTATGTTGCTGAAGGCTGGTTTATTTATTAAACAGGTAATAAGATCAAAAAGCTTGTAGATTTAAAAATCTGGTCCATGCTTTGTGGTACAGAAGGAAAACAAAAGGGTGCCCTGTAAGTAACAAAGAGGAAAAAAAAAAAAAAAAGTGCCCCCAAAACCTTATAACTTGGCCATATTTACACTCAGTTCAGCTCCCTATAAAAGCCATTTACTTTCAGCTTAATTTTTTGAGGACATCAAAAGGGATGTTTAATTAACAGAGGCCAGGCTGGAGCTGCTGCAAGGATTTTCACCCTGACAGGAGAGACTGAACTTGAGGAACATGCTGTGACAATACAGGTTAAAATCTGAGTCAAGTCCATCAGAAGCTGGTGTCAGATTGGATTTTCTGGTGTCAGATTCGTTGACCTCGCTGGTGTTTTTGTTGCAGCTGTTGCTGGCAATGCATGCTAACTTGCCTTACTGCTGTACCCGAAATGGGAAAAGGGAAACTTTTTATTCAGTCTCTTGTGCTTACGGTGGGTACGTGAGGCACAGAGCACAGCTTCCAGAAAACCTAGAGATTAAAAGAAAAATTCCAGGTTTGTGTTACTTGAAGGCAGAACGCAGTACCCACGCGAGCAGCGGTTTAACTCAGAGGTAATTCAGCATCTAGCAGAAATACCCTGCAAGCGGATTGCTCTGTGAAGTGTAGATGAGCCTAAATGTACGTTGGAAACCGCTGCCTCTCGAGACTCGGAATAATAGGGCTGTGGTTGTTTTTATTTTTTAATGCTTCAGGCTCCACCGCTGCTGAGAGAGGTCCTTGCAGAAGAGCGTGGAGATGGGTCATCTGTTCAGAGTAATGAATCATCTTACAGCTTGCCATCGATCCCAAATGACGGCAGGGAAATGGAGCAGGCAAAACATGTTCCGTGGCTCGACAGCATGGGAAAGCAAGGTAACAAGTGCTAAAAGCTCTGCCTGTGTGCTCTGAGCTGCCACCGTGCCCTGCTGTGAGATACAAGTGTGTTTTCCATCAGAATCTGCCAGGGACATAATATTTGTTATGAGCTTCTGGTGATTGCCTTAAACTTCTCTGCATTTTGGTCATTCTTGTTACTTCTTAATGTGAGTGCTACCTACAGGGACTAGTTTTCTCAATTGAGATAGAAAATCAAGCCTTGTGGTAGTTATTAAAGTGGGTTCTATGTGCATAGGTATATTTTGAAAATGCCTGCTGTTTAGAAATGGTGTGATATCTTAGCTGTGTTTGTTTTGCTTTTCGTGAAGCCAGAATGCAGAACATTTTCCACAGTGCAAGGGCTGGTGGTAAGAGAGGTGTGCAGTGCCATTCTTAAAAGGTGGATGTTTGTGAAAATCCAGTTAATTTCTTCAGATAAGGAAGTAACGTATTAGCGCTGTGTAGTAACTGGCGACGGGAACTTGCTCAGCCTGCTCTCAGAGCATCCCTCACATCAAAGTCCAGAAGAGACAGGCAATTAGGTTGCAACGCTCTTCACACAGCACATGTAAACAAACTGATTTAGGCCCCCTAAATCCACGCCACTTTTATCCACGGAGGAGACTGAGACTTTGATTTAAACTAATTTTCAGCGGTGGGTATGATCTATGCCGCGGCTGTCGGGCTGCTGGACAAGATCGCAGAGTTACTGTTGGCTGTTTGTTTCTGAAATCCATTGGGTCTTAAATTATTTCAGACATTTGGTTAGCTTTTCCTTTTCTCTGGGAGCTACAGAGACGCAGCAGCTCCGCATTCGAGTAAAGTTCACAGTAGGCGCCTCTTTTAAGAACGGTAATGGATAGTTTAGATCAATAAATAAGAGATAACAAAAGTGAGAAATTAAAGGGAGTAGGGCTTAAAAGAAAACAAACCAGTCTGATCGCAGCCACTTTGAAATGGGTTTCATTATGGTGTGTTCACATACAGAAGTCACAAGCTGGTGTGAAGATGAGAGCCAGGAAGAAAGCGTGGTAGGAAAGATTCCTATTACAGGTAAAAGTAATGGCTGCATATTAACCTCAAATGTGGTATTCAACTTTATTATATAATCAAAACACGGCGTTTTTAGGGGCTCGGGTCCGCTAATAGTGAGTAAATTCAGCTCCTACACACCGAGCACAGAGATTAAACGTGGGATCAGAAAGTACGCACTCATCTTCACGTAAACCAAGATGGAAAATAACAGTGCCTATTTAATTCCTTGTAATCATGTTACACATTTAAACCGCGCGAATATCCCGTCATTTAGCCTTTCAGGTCCTCGTGTCGGTGTTACGAAGGTCAGTCTCCGTGGGGAAGATCCAGTAATTATATGGCAAACTACAGATGTTTCTGATTTGATTCTTTTCTTTTCTCTCCTAATTGAATGTGTATCATTAGAATAAGCGCGAGGAAAAATCCCGCTAGACAGGAAGCTGTGCTTTTGCCTCTGTTACAAAAGCTGCCTGATAACACCAAATTTTTAGCAATAAGGTTTTATCAAGCCGTGTTCAGATCTCCCCGCAGCAGCTGCGTTGGGCTCGCTTAGGATCCTTGGCTTGTGAAGTATCAATAACGCGTTAGTATTCCGGGCAGAGCTTTTTGCAATAAGTCTCAATTTGCTTTTGCCTGATTTTTGCAAAGTCGTGGGCTGTTTCGTTATAAATGGGCATGTTTGGCTAACTGTTTATTTATGCAGGTGTGTACTCCGACAGAAAGGTGCGAGGGCATCTGTTTATACAGCTCTCGCTGTTGCCTCTCTGCTGTTTTACGACTTAAAAATAGCCTGTCTTTCGGAGGGCAATTCATTTCTCTATGGAGGTTTTCCTCTGCAGCTTTTTTGAGCCTAATTTGCAGCTGAAATATAAAAACGTGCTTCTTGTGTCCCTGAATTATACTGCGGCAATAATATTACTATGTTAGCCACATAAAGCTTAGAATATTTTTTGTTTTCTCTGAGGCTTTGAGAGTGGAATGCTTTCGTTTTTCTTGCTGCTTAAAATGTCCTCCAGTTGCACATGGCAGTGTAATTGTAAAACGTGAGCTGTGATGATTATTTTTTTTTTTAAGGTGAATTAAAAGTGCACAAGCCATTTAAATGGTTCTCCTGAAATAAAGCACACTTACTTGAAAATTCATCCAAGATTTGGCAGAGTTTGGGATTGTTCTGATTTTTCTCTGTAATTTAAGAGGATTGTGATTTAAAGTCCATCATCTGCAGACATCACCAGCAAGAAGGATGGGAGGAATGGTGGTTTCCTCTAATGCCAGCACAGATCTCTTTTTTTTAAGTGAGAACACAGGCTTCAATTTGGATGTGCGTAGCTGCCCAGGCTTCTGGCTTGCTTCTCCCCATGCCAGATTCAGGATGTAGCATGGCTGTTTTGAGCCAGGAAGCCCAGCAGCTTTTGCATACTGGCAGTTCCTCCTGGGAACCTGGTTCTTGGACTGGGCTGCAGCTGGTCCAAAGCTGAACCACAGTGTACATTCTCTCCCAGAGCTTCTCACTGAATAGATGTGCAAGTACCGATATTTCCTAGTTGTAAAAATGCTGAGAAACTCCTCCTAGCCTGAATGCTGCAAATGGTAACTTAAGTAAAAAATGCTTTCTTCTCAAATCTGCTTTATGAGCTACTTTTTTGGCCAGCATTCTGCCGTCTCTGGGAGTGAGGCTTTTCATATCTCACTTGAAAGCAAAGTTGCTCCTTTCAGCTGCTATTCATCTTCAGCCCATCATCTTCTCCAGGCTTCTTGTTCTTTCCTGGCTCCTCACTCTCCCTGCCTGTCACTCCCTGCCTTGTGCTCACCATTACAAGCCCTGCAGCACTGAAACTGTTCAGCCTTGCCTTTGGGGCTCCAGTGACCTGTGAGGTAGTTTGGTTTTTTGTCTTTAGGTGGACTGCTACACACAACCATTTTGTTATACAATTATTTTCCATACATAATGGATATAAACTCTTTTTTTTTTCAGTGCCCACTGTATCCCTTAAGGGCTGTAAGTTTTGATTTAAGCATTGGAAGCACTGAGGTTTTGATGGACTTCAAAGTGAGAGATGAGAGCCTTTCCCAATGGGAATTGACGGGTGCTTCTATAGTTCTGGTTTATTCTTTTTTCTTCTGTTACAGGGGGGAAAAAAAAGGAACCAAATACTTTATTTTAACATTCTGTAAATACTCAAATTTGTGTCAAAAATAAATTATTCTTTTTCCAAGCCTGCAGTTAGCTCAGGGCACAAGATTGATCCAGCTCATACTTCAAGGTGATTTCCTCCATAGAGCCCCTTCTTCACATTGCAGAGCCGTGTTGTACTAAGGGACTTCAGAGAGAGTTTTGTGTTGTGCAAGGTGCCTCTCAGCCTAAGAAATGCTGTTGATCTCACCCACATTTTATTAATGGTCACCTCGCTGCTGCTGAAGTTACGTGGGGGTAGAGGAGTGTATATGGACTCATTCTGCTTCTCCTGTTGGATGCTTACTTTTTTCTCTCGGGAAGACACGTAAAAGAAATGGTTGGCTTTTTACCTGTTCCTCAGGTAGGCAAATGATGGGAGATGAAAAATGATAAAATGCATTATTTTTGGTTTTGCAGATGAGAGTTTAAATGTCTCACGAGTAGGAAACTGCAGGTTTTAGTGAAGGGGTAGGTTTGTTAAATCTTCAACAAAAATAGATTCTCTTCCTATCCTTCATTTATGTCTTTGATTTAAATAGACAGCAAAGCTGTAAAGTATTGGAATAAAAATGGCATTGCTTCCCTGTTCATCAGGCTTTGCTTTCACTGATGTCATGTTCCATTTCCACTCCAGGTGGAAAAATCTCTAATGTAGACATAAGGAGGAAAAACCCTCTAAAGAATAATAATAGTATTAAAAACGTGTGTGTGTGTGTGTGTGTGTGTGTGTGTGTGTGTATAATACAATAAAAAGGTCCTTCTCACGTATCATAGGGAAACATGAAAGGGCACAAAACCAATTCTGTTTTCCTTTTTAGGTCACCTTTAATGAGCCAATAATCCTGCCAACACTTTTTCCACGCCTGCACATCTTTCCCAGTGAGGTTCTTCCTTGAGCTGGACTTGAAAGGGTCCTGAGTTTCCACTTGGAGTGTGCTGATAAAGCGTTATTAAGTCTACCCAACGTTTTGCTTCATTTGATATCAATCTATTACAAGCTGCTGTTGCCAAAAAAAAAAAAAAAGTTCATCTATCCGTGATTAATCACCATTGGTTTGACAGAAGTACCTCAGCACAGCGTGCAATTATGTGTTTTGCTTAAATTAATTTGGATTACGTTCTCCAGTAGGTGATATTTTGCATTGCTCAACTTGAGTAAGTTTGGGGAAGACATCTTTCAGTTGTGAATTCTGAGTGCAAAGCTTTGTTCAGTCTTCAAGCGGAGGCAGCAGCTATCGGAAGTGCTCTCACTGGGCCAGCTTGCTCCATCAGGATTCCATGAGCCCTCTGGTCATCAGATGTGTACCCTCTTGAGAGGGGAGCATCATGCATTGGTACATTGTGATGCTGACAGTGTTTTATGCTTTCTTTTTTCAAAGGAAAGCAGGGGCAATATTTGTTGATGTTTGACCTCCTTCTGGCTACTGGCCACTGCAGAGTTCTGCTCTTAATTTGGAGATCTTTTTCATCTGTTTGCTCATCCTCCTATCACCTCCTTTTATCAGAAGAGCACATCCTTCTATCAGATTCGCAGGTAGCCTTTATCCTCTCCCTGTAAGCAAGTTTTCTGCTGTATCGCAGGGGAAATCAGCACGTATAAAAGCTGTGTGTAGGGATCACTCAAGCCTCCGGTCCCAAGGCAGAGGTTCGCACAGTGGCTGTTTGTGTTCTGGCAGTGGCAAGGCAGCTGATATCCTGTGTTTAATCCCAGATGGCTCTTTGTGGATGATCAGCAAGTGCCGTAATTAGTGTTAATGTGGTGGAGGAGGCTGTTCAGATTTGAAGTTCCTCTGGGCAGGAGCTATTGTTAGTTGCCTATTTTCGTGCCACAGCTAGCAGCATGGTAGCCTGGACCGAGCAGCACTCCTGAATGTGAATGCAATAAATATTGCCAAGGTAACTAAAACTACACAGCTTGCAGGCTCAGCTGATCCTGATAATATTCCTTTCAAGGCATTATTAACTTTGAAGTCTAGTGACAGCTGAAATACCCAAGCTGCTAACTATTTTATTGTTGCAAAAAGTACACAGAAAAGGCAAAGTTCCTCTTTTGTGCAATACTCACTTGTGTACGAGGGAGATGCAGATCCACGTCTGAGTTGAGCTTGCAAAGGCACTGGCTTCATTTGCTCTCCAGCTACGCGTGTTTACATATGTGATTATTGATTGTTATTGGAAACAATGACTAATTGCTGTTGATAGCTTTTAATTGGCATTCTAGTTGCCCTTCTTCCCCTCCCTACAGAGCAACACCTACTGCTTGCTTACTTGCTTAGGTCACAGATTTGAGGTTTCCTCACAAATTGCCTTGGCAGTAAACTTCCTGTTTCCCCAGCTTGCATCTGGAAATCCAGCAGCTCTGGGAATTGCTTGCACCGTTCTCGCTTCTGGGCATGCCAAGTCAAGCTCTTGGGCATTGCTGGTAATGACAACACTTGATATCTCTAGATGACTTTTTTTCCACTTCTCCTGGGACTTTTGCTACAGTTAAGGGCTCCAAGTGTAACAGAGATGTTGGTTTTGACGGCCAAAAAGTACGAGCTTTTTTCTCAGGTAACACAGTTAGCAAGGTATGAAAGCTGTGAGTACATAACCAGGAGCTTCCTTCTCTTTCTTTGCAGAAGGTTACATCACATCACTTTCTTGTCACAAAGATGTTTGGCTGTACATTGATGAACACTGGAACCTTGGCTGTAGGGCAGTGCACGGAGAAAATATCTTGTTCTGCTCTGCTACAGTATGTTCTGGGTCAAAGATCATTTCAGCTGTTCAGCAGAACAAAACAATAGTGGTTCATTATGCAACCACGGCAGTTTTTCCTGGAACTGGTGGCTAATGAAGAAAAGTACACCCATTTTGTTTGGAACAAAATTGTAAAAGCTGACATGAAAGCTGCTTTGACCCATACAGACTGCACAATTAATTCTAAGTTGGAAAGTGTGGAGTGTTTTTAATTAATAGTGGTATCTCAGATCCTTTGCTAATTCTGAGTGGAAGGAAGAATACGCTGGGGAAAAAGATGTGAGGAGAGCTGTGTCATCTGTGGTGAAGCAGCTTCCCTTCTTTTGCAGTATTGCTCGAATGGCTGGATTAAGAACTTACTTTTCATTATTAACGTCCCGGTTTAAGCTTAAAGCCTGTTTTATCATGCTTTTTCAGTTGTGTCTGTGCAGTAGGCACTGGCCAGCTGTAGAGTGAATACTCAAAATGCCACATGCTTAACATGGAGCTGGGGAGCTCCAAAATATGTTGATTGCTCTGAAAGTAATGCCTCCTGTTTATTTATGTGGAAGCTACAACAGCTACAAAGGGCGCAGCAAGACTGTTTGATAATGCAAATTCATGGCTACACAACACAGTTTTTCAACAGTCACTGCCATTAGCGGTACATATTTGCCAGTAATGTGCAGGAGCCTGCATGCTGCCATCCAGAACGTGGCTTGTCTTTCACATCACTGTCACCACTGCTGAAATGCGCCACCCATCACCTCCCTGTGCTCACATCTACTGTTTGGTCTCTGTCAGTGTTCAGCAAGCGTTGATGAATGTCAGTGGTGCCATTTTTTGTCTGCATGGTGGAATTCAGTGACACAGCTTGGCTTTGTCTGTTCTTCCATGCTGGATGCCGCTCTGTCAGGCTGCCCCTCTGCTGCCATCTGTCACATGGCAACAACATGCAATGGGGCACTGGTGGCAAGGTTTAATTTCTACTGCCGTGCCACCAACATCATAACATCGGAGGCATTGTTTTCAGAGCGGCCCTCGTGCTTTCTCACCATTTGAACTGGCTGAAGGAAATCATTAAGCAATACTTCTTTCCACTTGGCAGTCTCTTCCACTGCCTTACAATGTGGGCATGTTGTTGAGGTGTGGAGATGAGGCAAGAGCTCGGTGCTCCGAGTGTTTAAACCTCCTTGGATGCTTTATAGGTATTGCAACCCAGACGAAATACCAAGCTCAGTTTTAAAGGTGAATTGGTGAGCTTGTGAGGGCTTGGGAGGATTCCCCATTGATGTGGGTGTAAAAGCAGATTCATAGAGGCTTGAGAGGAACAGTTTGACTAATTGGCTGTAAGTCTGACATAACTAAGGCAGAAGTGGGGATTGATAGCCCAGTATTGTTTTATAATTGACAGATAGGGCAAAGCTAAGCTCCAGAGGGTCTCAAAGGTGAAGGACAAGTAGGTTGTGCTCCCATTTGATGTAGGGCAGGTGCAGGCCTGATGGGATCCCTGTAGTACTGAAACCACTCTGGTAGTAGCCCACATTGTCCTCCTGAAGAGCAGTGTTGGAGTAAAAAGCAATTTCTAGGAGTTTTGAACCGATAACACTGACTTAAATTCCTTTATTACAGTTTTTACTTTCCTGATGTCATGTGCAAAGAAGCACAAATATTAGTTCCTTTATGATGAGTGGTTTCTCAGTGCATGCCTACGTCGCCAGTCTGCAGCTTTGAGCTACAGCCAGTCTTGCATCCTGGAAGTCCTCCATGGTCAGGGCTTGCTTAGACTTTCAGTCACATCTATATAGATACATGTATATAGAAGTCTTGTGGTGTCCCAATTGTAATTTCTAGTGCAAAGTAGCCTTGTATAGTGGGATTTGTACTTAAGCATCATGGTCCATGGAAACAAACACAAACATGAGCAATTGTGCCATTCCAGTGAAAGAATTTTATCTATTTACTTTCTTAAATCAATCTGTACAGAATAGAAAATGAGATGCACAGAATGGGGAAGGAGTAAAGGAAAGTGTGGATGAAAGGTTTGGGAATGGCTGATTGTTAAGTTGGCTATTGAGTCATAGAAGAATCTAAGATTTGTGTCTCCCAAATGCAGCTCTGTATTTGAAAAGGAAAGGTTAAAAATACTGATATATCACAGTGTTCAGAGATGCTAATGTGTACTAAAGCATTTAAGGGGAAGGAGAATGAAAGTAACCCTTCCTCCTGATTAAGGTAAGTAAATTAGAACTTGAGGATTAGAAAGAAAATGAAGAAAAAGAGTAAATCCTTGAAGTTTTGCTTAAAGTTGATGTGTGATGCAATACAGTTCTTAAACCCAGTGTTTGCTCTTTTGTTCTAAAACAGATCAAAACACACAAAGGTTTCTGAGTTCACGAGAAACCATCATCAGATCACTGAAGTGACACACAGCTGTGATGTCTTCAGATTTAATGTTTGAAAATTTATACTTTGTGTTTTTCGCTTTGCAGGTTGTGTTGTTGGAAATAATGGTTCCGAAGCAAAAGAAAGGCAAGAAATGTGCTCCGAAAGCAGTTCACCCAGTGAAAGAAGCGGTGACCTCTCAAGGTAAAGTTATTAAAGGATTTAACATTTGAAATGTTTCAGTGGAATGAGAAATGCCTGCAGAATGTGACTGAATCTCTGATGATTTTGACTTGATCTGAGGTTAAGGCTTGTATTTATGTTTATCTAATAAAACAACTTCAACTCTGGTACACCTTAGAAAATATTTGCACCAAAGCCAAGTATTGTTTTGCAGCTGTTGTTTTCTCATTTTAAGACTCAATTGACATCTCAGTGAACCACAAATTAGCGTGTACAGCTGCTCTCAGTAGGGCTACTCAGAGGCCAGACAATAGAAGTTGTCAGGAAAAGGGCAGACAGAAAACATAAAGTCTTCAAGAAATAAAGTGATGGGTTTCTTCTCCGTGTAGCTGAGATGTAAACTAGTTGTAACTGGATCATGCTTTTCACAGTCTGCAGACTGGTGGTTTTTTCCCCTGTTATTTTTGATACTGGGATATTTACAGCATGTCTGTCTTGCTTTCACACCGAACGCGTTTAATCGATGGCCTTGTAGTTACCTAAAGGATGCTGTCTATTTAATTTTAAACACAAACAACAACAGAAAAAACAAACACTTTTTTAATGCTGCAGTGCTTTGCTTTGGGTCCCTGAGCAGTTGTGTTAGATATTCCCCGTGTTCTTCATGGGCGTGTAACGATAATCAAACAGCAACAATCAAATTAGTGGTCAAGCAGCAGCAGAAAATAGGATATAGCACAGCCATCTCATGAAATATTGGCTTGGCTTTAGATTCTTATCTGCTCTTATTAGAACAGCCTTGCAAGTGGGCTCTGCTGTTGTGTGGCTCCTCAGCTGAAGACAGCCATTAATAGCACTCAGGAAAAGACTTTAAAGCATCCTGATAAATTTCTAACTCGTCCCGCTGATAAGGCATTGATATCTTTCTGTAGTTTCTTTGTATTGTTATTGATGAGGCCACTTTTGACACAGACGGCTATTCTGATTTTGCAAGTACTGTCTTCTGAATTAGAACACAACCTTCCTGCAGTTCTTCAGTACAGTGAATAAAGGCAAGCTGTAATCATATATTGATGAAGGACGTTTGTGCGTTTGTTTGGGATTTGCTCTCGTGACTCCAACTCTTGTTTATTTTTTCCTCTTTATTTTTCAATCTATTTTCTGGAACTTAGTTTGCTTGAGGATGAGCTTCTGAATAATACTTAATGTTAGAAAGTTTAAGGGTTTTGCTTGTAGATGAATTTTGAAATGCTAAATTTCAATCATTCACAGAAGCCCAGGATAACAGGCAGAGAAGGACAGAGCCCCGGGGAACTTGCTTACAGGATTGCTGTTAAGCAGCTAAATATGTGCATAAGCACCTAAATAAGCACGTAAGATATGTATAATTAATGATGACAGCTATTTAAAAAAAAGCCTTGGGTACTGTTTGGCATCTTTAGTAGTTTTTCAGATGCTATTTATATGATGTCCTTTTTTTAGTGCTCTTTTTAATTCTCCTTTGTGATAGATTTAGCATCACTCTGCCCTGTAGCTTCATGCCTTGCAGCGCTGAGCAGCAGTGAGTGCGCTGGTACTGATGGTGCTCCCTAAAAAAACAAAGCAACCAATCTTACAGCGACTCAAAGTTCGTATCGAAAACGCCTAGGAAAGCAATCCTGCCTTTTTAAAGGTGAAGTTTCTGACTACTGCTTGTTTTGGATGCTTGAAGTGGACTTTGCACAGAGGCAGCACGGCAGGAGCGGCGCAGGAAGAGCAGTGGCAGCATCTGGGTGCTGCTTTGCGGTCAGGACGCGGCGAAATTTCTTGGCCGCTCACATGTAAGCTCTCCACTTAGTGCAGTCACTTCTCGTGCTTTATTGCTTTTACAAGTGGTCTCGAAACCCACTACTTGAGAATAAACATAACTGTGTAGTACTGCTGTGGTACTTTTTATAAATTCTTCTTTGCTGTTTTGTCACTGAGCTGATGAGTGACCTCGAAAAAGACCCTGCTGGACCTAAATAAAAAAAATGGCTTCCTCTGATGTCCTGGAGACAATAATTATGATGTGCCAGTTAAGCCCAAACTACAGCTGAGGGATTTTACTTTAAAGCGGAGGCTTGGGCGCAAAAATGCATTTATAGCTCTTTGTCTGGCACCTCATTATGTGTGGGCCTGATTCATTAAGTAATTGGTTTGCAGTTGTTTACATGAGTATTAAGGCTTTCTATTCAGCAGCCTTTGAGAGATACATTGTGCAAATGTTGCATGTTATGAATGCAGAATGAGGGGCAGGGGACCAGTCCTATTGGCTAAACACTGCACTCTGTTGAAAAGCAAGAGAAAGAGATTGGGTGCTGCTTTGCATAGCAATGACTTTCTTAATAAGCTTTACAGATTAATACACACAAGCTATAAAAGATGCAAAGAGATACTCTTAGCACATTTATACATGCTCATTTCACTATTATGGTACTGGAGATGGGAAGAATTGAGCTCTTTCATATTCGGTTTTTCAGTGCATGTCTTCAGTGCATGAGACTTAATAGAATCCGATGTTTATTGTATTATAAATCATGGGGAAGTAGGCAGATCTGCAACAGTTTATTATTAAAGATTCTTTCAATGTAAATCTTTTTCGGCCATTGTATTTCCTACAGCAAAATCATTTTGTGGTTGAGTGGGGATGAAAGGCATAATGTACGAAGGAGTGAGTCTTAATAGGAAGCTGCTCTCTGAGTAAAGACCACTTGTTCCCTTTTGTTCGGAGGTGCATGCCAGAGCTTCCTCTTCTCCCACAAATATTGTCTGCTTCTGCCTTAGATATCAAACTGCCTTGGTTTTTTTTTTCCCCCTGGACTGATTTACTTTCTCGAGCTGCTCGTAGATGCAACTTTAGCCAGAAGAGTGAAGGTTTTGCGAGAGGAAAGAGCAGGTTAAGTTATAGAACCGCTCGGGGGGAGAAGGTATCATAAGTCAGGCCTGAGTCTCCCCGAAAGAGCGGGCAGAAGGCGATGTGTGTGGCATTGGGCGGCCCTGCAGCGGTGGCTGCAGCCAGAGGAGGTCACTAGCTTTCGGGATCGTTCTGTGGTTTTGATGCAGGCCGTTTATTTTGCTTCGTGACTTGTTTGCTCTGTCTAGCTTCCAAATAATCTGAAGATTAAAGCAGCGTTACAGACTGAGAAGCAAATGAAAAATGTAATTTGTCAGGACGTAAGCACGGTTTAAAGTATTTTAAACTTTGATTAATCTGCATTCTGGAAGTAATCCAGCCCGGTCCCTGGAGGCTGTTTTTTAGTCAAAAGCTGCCTCTAACAAACTCAGATTTAATGAGATGTAAATAAAAGTTTTCAGATTGTAATTCATCCTCTTAATTATTCTCGAAGGAAATATTTAATAATCAACTGGCAATAACTAATGGGATGCTTGGCTTGCCATGCAAAGCAGCACGTTGGCCATCAGGGGGCACTCAGACTTTGCTGAACTAGGAGCTCTCGATTCATTTTGCATCTTCTACCTGATGTTACTGCTATCATTTTAAATCTCGATGGCGTTTTGTGGACTTGTTTGGCATCTCTTGTCAGAGCTCCAGCCTAAAGTTTTTGGGGTCAGGGTTTTCCAAGGTATGCATTAAGCAGGACAAGGAAATAGCCATTGAGAACAGTGAAAGCAAGGGAACGGGGCAGAGTGGGGTGCTGCAGCCAGTGTCCTGCACCTTAAGAGCCACGTGTATATAGGTGAGTCTGTGCCTGATGGTTGTATCCTTCTACAGAGCTTCAGTTGTCAAATCACTTCTAACAGAGGTCGACTGTATCTCAGGGATGTTTTTCTGTAAGTCCTGTAGCTATCACATCTGGTCCCAATCCTAAAAACCACAGAAACAGTGATGCTGTAGCAGCCGTGCTGCAGGGCGGTCAGCAAGAGTTACCAAGGAACTTGCACTGTGATGGATTTTGGTCTGTTTTTCTAAGCAGGAATATGTATTTTTTTTCTTCAACCTGATACACAAGCAGGGGGCGATCTTAAATGTAACTTGATGTCAATCTTTGTATCGTACAATAAGAGTGATCATGTTTGCAGTGTAATTACTTAAATTCAGTGTTATCGTTTCCATTCCTCAGCAAATGATGGCATGTTGAATAGATTTGTTACTGCATTCCCAACTCTGTAACTTCACTGCGTTTCTGTGATGCCCAATTTCTAGTCAACCATCAGCAGCAAACGATAGTGCCATCAGAGTTGTCCTGCAGCTCACAGCAAAGCGTATTTATCACACAGGGGCACGCTGAGCTGAGACGTCACATCAGAAGCACCGGCACCGAGTAGCCTGGCTTGATACTCCTAAAAGGCTTTTAGATGTTTCCAGAAAACGATTTTAAAAGATAAATCTGCAGCTTTGCATCATCCTCACATGTCACTGGGGAGAAGCTGCATCGCTTCTTTCAGTGAGGGTTATGAAGCACTGCCCTGTGAAATATAAATACTCGGTTTGTTTTCTGGTGCCTCAGCACTGCTTTCATGCAGAAGAGGCGCACAGCCTTGAAACCTGTGGCAATATCAGCTGTAGTGTCGGTGTTCCTGAAGCCCCCACGCTCCTCAATTTGTTTGTCTTTCTGATCAAACTTGACATTGTTTTGTTTTTCTTGATGCTTGGGTGATGTTGTTTCTTTTCCTTTGCTGTTTAAGTAGTGGCTGTGGGCTGTGTGGTTTTCCATTTTTTTTCCTTTATCTTAAGGCATTTGGGTGTCCTTTTTATTTATTTTTCGTTCGTTTCTCTTGCCACTGAAGTGCTGAAGTTCAACAAGTGCTAAAGCAAAAAGACACCCTGACTGGAGTAAGCATTTTCTCTTGATTTTTTTTTTTTCCCCATGCCGCATCTATTAACTTGCCTTTTTGCTCTACTAGATTTTTTTTTTCCTCTTCATATTAATTTTCTTTATGGAGGGAAAAAATATTTTCTTGGAGCTTTTTCATTTCTTATTGTTGCAGAATCTTCAGCACAAAAAAGCCTATTTCAGCAGAGTAAAGGAGAGATTAAAAGGCCCTTTGAAGTTAAACCGGTTTGGGTTTTTTCTTTGTTAGAGCCTGGGTTGAGTTTGGCATTATTTTAGGGAAGAAGCAAATGTGTAAATGGATATCGAAGGGTCACTACAGGGGATTAGTCAAGGCAGGGAAACTGGCCTTACTTCATTTATAGCCCTGAAGTTTCTCCTTGGAGGTCTGTGTGGTTATTGTGCGCTCGGCGTAGCAGACGATAACTTTCACGATTGAATTTCCTGACTTCTCAATATGGGTGTTTTGCAATGTAAATGTTTTGCTGCATCTTGACTAACACTTCAGACATAATTCAAGAATTTTATTCCCTGTGACAAAGCTATCTTGCAGTATTTCCAGTCTCGATTTGACAGAGTTGCTATTTCTGGTCTCCTGGTACCATTTTCTGCATCTCCTCTAGCATTTCTCTGTGTGCCACCAGCTTCCATGCCAGACCGTTTCCTGGCATCTCCTTTTCTGCCTGATCTGTGGCACTGATACCTAGCTTCTGACAAGCCCTTTCTCAAACCCCTTTGGGCTGTTTTTGGTAGGGAATTCTGTTCTTAGGCATGGTAATTTCCCCTGGGAGAGGGGATGCACTGATGGCTTTTTGGTAGAATGTGAACGTCTGTCTTTGCCCTCCCTTGTGTCAGCACTGGCTGTTTTCTTTATGGGAAGGTGGGAAAAGGAGGGAAGGTTTTCAGATCTTCAGAATCTTAGAATCACAGAATGACTTGTATTGGAAGGGACCAGAAAGGCCATCCAGCTCCAACTCCTTTGCTGTAGGTAGAGTTGCCACCCACTAGACCAGGGTGCCTCACCTCTTGGCCGTGGTGGTCCTTGCACCACAGCTTCTCAGTGAGGCCTTCAGGTGGCCCTGGAGCAGTTGGAAGTGCTCAGGGTTGTGCAGGGCTGTGGGTGCTCTTCCACTGCTCATCCTGTGGTCCTGGTATTGCATGGTGGTCCTCAGCCCAGCAGGGCTATGGATCCACCTGAACAGCCCTCACACGTCCAATCGTGGCCTGAACCAAGTGGAGCAGAGGGTCACTCTGAGGCTGCATGATAAAGCCTTTCCACCTCCCTTCCTGATGGTGGAAGAGGAAGCAGTAGGCAGTGTAAACAGTAGCTGTCAGTTGTGTGAGCTTGTTTTAATGAAATACTTGAAGGCAAAACGGTTCTTGTGCAGTCTGTCACGGAAGTCACCTCTCCATTTGCAGCTCAGCAACAAGTGGGTTCTCACTCTACACCCAGGGAAAAACGATGTGGCTGATGGAGTTGCCTCCTCTTAAGCACAAGCTGTGGGCTGAGCCTGGGATGCATGGGGCACCTCCTGGGGAGCGCCGAGGGTCAGGAAATCTCAGCACAATGAGCAGGAGTTCAGCCTGGTTGGCTGTTCAAGGCCTCAGCCTGGAGGACCTGACCTGTGCAGTGTGTTCAGCAAGCATTTGGAGTGAGCGAATTTGAATCAGAAGTTGGAGTGTAGTGTAGGGTGGGGTTTGACTGAATAAAACCAGGAGGGATTTGGATGGCATGCTGAGCACTGTCAGATGCACTATTTAAGGCTAACGCATTTTTGAGTGAAATATTTAAAGGATATATTTCTAATTGTTTGTACTTAACTAGTGCTGCTGTTTTGTTACCAGTACCTAAATGTTCTTTTGGTATTTTAGTTGAACTTCAGCTGTGTTTATTGTTCGACTTCTGGGAATTTGTGAATCCCTTTAGAGAAGGGAGATCGAGGCTAATGGCGTTCACAGCTTGTAGGAAATGAATATAACTAACTAACATTTTTTTCTCTTAAAAAGAGGAGTTGCTGTTACAGAGGTAGCTGTAATGTAATGAAACCTCCCCTGCGTTAAGTTGAACTTTCCAGTTGTAATCACAAAATCTCACTGAATACGGTGATGTAACACGAGCAATGAATCATCTGTCGTCTTGTATCTCCTTCACAAATGCCTTCATTGATGGTAGTTAGAATATTTTTAACTCCTCGCTTCAGGTAATTATGTGTTAGCTGCCGTGTCTCTAAATGAAATGCAGCAAATTGTGTGAAATTTTGACAGCTGATTGTGTTCTGACTGTAGCGACAGCTTCAAATTGCAGCTTGACATTTGCTTATGTTGGACTAGTTCACACAGTAATGTCACAAATATCTCCTATTTGATCTTCCTTATTAAAATCAGCTGAAGCTTTATTTTTAGAGCTTATTGCGGGATTGTTAATATAACAGTTAATTCTCCTACATCATTGCCCCTATGTGATTATTTCACAGCACCAACACAATACACACGCTACACACAAAAGATCAAAATGATTCCAGCTTGTTTGAGAGATTCAAAAGGGCCTGTGATGCTCTAGACACAAGAGCAGTCATTTAACAGAACAGAATCGCAACTGCATATACATCAAGGTAGATCAAAGGCAGCTGGAAGATTGCACATTTACATAGGGACGTGGGTGATGCTATGGGAACCCAGGAGCTGACTTGGAGGAGTGCACTGGCAGGATGGGAAATAAGGAAGTTCAGTGAGCATCAGTGGGGGGTGCTTTTATTTTTGTTTGGATTTTTTCTTTACTTTCTTTGCGTATCTGAAAGGCTGCAAAAGATAGATGAAGCTGTGATGCTTTGTCCCCTTAATTCACTACTGGTGTACATCAGCAGTGCTAGCAGTGCTGCTTCCAGAGCATGCTGCCTGAACATCTGGACCAGTGTCCTTGTTGCATGATAATTTCTCCACCTTTTGTAAAACATACAAGTGGGAAAAGCAGCGACCAAGGAGCGAGTAGTTACTAAAAAAAAAAAAAGTCAATTGAATGTCTTTTAGTTTTGTGACACTGTGCTGAATATTTACAATCTTTCCCTGTTTGCAGGCCTGAATTCAGGAAGGGAGCGATAACTGCTATAAAATCCAAAGGTAAGAACCAACTGTTAAACTGCTTAAAAACCTGTCCTTCTTAGGGAAATTGAAATGGCAGAAAGCCTCTAAATACAGCATTTTTAAGGAGATGGAGGAAACGTGGAATTTCCCTACCTCAGCACAGGAACAGGCAAATAGTTACTGATGGGAAATTCTGGATCAGAGAGGACATGTTTCACAGTGCATGATTTGGAAGGGCAGTGATCTTTGTGCTTGGTGATTTAAATCAAATAGGAGCAGGAGAATCATCGAATCATAGAATCACCAAGGTTGGAAAAGACCTCCAAGATCATCCAGTCCCCCTACCACCAATATTCCCCCACTAAACCTTGTTCTTCAAGCCTAGCGGAGGAAAAATCTGGCATTATCCCTCTTTGAAATACTGAGTGCAGGAGCGGATGGGCAGCAGCGTGTTTGTGTGGTTACCATAGGTGGGCATACAACAGTGTCTGTACATGTGTGTGTCTGAAACAGTTGTTTTCCTTGTGCAGGCTTGCTTTTAAACCAGTTTCTGGGCCCTGTGTGTTTTCATTCTCTCCTACATTTGATTTTACTTCTAGTTACCTTAAATGCTGGTGTCCAAATTCACCTGTAACTCTGTGAAGGAAGGCGGTACTGGGACCAGAGAGTTTTTTGCTGGGAGCTCAGCCTCGGGAGCTATTACAGCCCTGAGTGATACCAAGCTTATTTCACAGTTACAGAATCGGAGCTGATTTCAGGATACCATTAACCTTGGGTGCTTTGATGCCGTTTGAAAGGCCTCTGTCACATCTCTAGCCTGCTTAGCTCTCTGCTGGGGAGCTGCGTGTTGTGGAGCCCTTTGGCACGTTTGCTCTCCTCCCACATGTTCAGCATGGGAACGAGCACAGGGTGCAGCCTGCCCCACTCTGCTGCTCACGGCAGACCTGCAGTCCAGGGGTCTGGGGATATAGGATGAAAGGTGCAGCTGCTGCATTTGTAGATAAGGTATTTATATAGCTTGTGCCATCAAAAGCACAAAATAGTGAACAGTGCTTCAGTCGAATATGAGCTGAAATTTCTGTATGAAGCTTGACAGTTTGCCTCTCTCCTGCTGTCTGAATCTGTATTTGTGAGGCTTTTGCCTCATTTGGGACATCAACTTTCTTTTGATAACTTTGGAGAAACGAGGACCCTCTGAAAACCTTTAGGACCAGGCAGTGCAGCTCTGGAAGTAAGTGTAGGCTTGACATTCTAGCTTGTGGCTGCTTCCTACAATGGGCTGAGAGAGAGAAGGATGTTACGTGTCTGCACACAACCTGCAGAGAGGTTTCACCAGAGCAGGGCAGGGGGAGCTGTGGGGTAGGATGTCTGTGCCTTGCTGCCCTGGGGAACCACGAACCCAAAGGGGAAGAGAATTTGTGCCTGTGAATGTTGTTCCCACCTGTGCTTCTGTTTCCTCTGACTCCCTCAGCCTATGCTTGTTGCTGTCGTGGGTGCAGTTTAACATTCAAACGCTGTTGCTGCAGAGCCCCTTGTTGTTGCTGATCAGCAGCACTCCTCAGTGGCCCTTTTGTGGTGAAGCAACTATTTTTTCTGGAGATAAAAGCGTGGCTTTCTGTTGTGGTTTTCTTTTTTTAATCAATGGAAAAAGAAAAATTAACAGTTGTTGCACGACTGAGCTGGCAACCTTCACACCTGAATCATCTCATCAGGCCTTCGTTGTGAAGAGCTCTGTGTACTTCCCTGTGTGTCTGCTGCTTTTTTTTTTTCCCTCTCCTTCCATGGGTCAAAGGAATTTACATATCGAGGAATCTCTCGAGCACTTCAAATTTAAATGTGATTCTGTTTTTCAGTGAAATTGCTTGCTAATTACCAGGTCCTTTTGTTAAAGCCATCCAGTTCTTTGAAGTCGTTTTTTGTCTGTATGTGGTCCTGTCACAGAGTGGTGTTTTTTTTCCATTTGTGACATCATTGCCATTTTTATGCCAACTCTGTGATGTCATGGTTATCCCGTGACTTCACTGTAGGGTCAAATAGAGGGAGAAAGTGGAACATAATAGACAAAGCTGTAATTCAGGCAGCAGATGGTCAAGTAAATTGCTTGGAGTGGAAATATTCTGCCAAACTACCTTGAGGAACAATGAAGTCGGCCCTGTAAATGGCTCACTGTTCCTCCACAGCAGCTCAGTTAGGAAACCACGACTTGGTGACATCACAGTGCCAGAAATGCACACCTCTGCTGGGGGTCCTCAAAACAGCCCTAAGCCCGAGCTCCTCCATAAACCACAGTGTCTAGATACCTCAAAAGAGCTGTAAAAGAATAAGGCCTGTGCTGTCACATGGGCGTGGAGAAGATTTTTATAATTCTCCCTTTATTTTTTGCCTTCACTCTCAGCTTTCTGGGGCGAATCTGACGATAGCAGCTCTGAGGCTGTGGATGTTTTGCGTCCACAAACTCACAGCCCAGAAGCAGATGACTTTGATGACTTCTATGATTGAAGTTCCACCGCTTGCCTTTGGGAAGCAAATCAACAGCATCACCTTCCACAACTTGAATGTGCAGAAGTGCACCTCATAGGTTGATATTCGCATTTAAATACAGAATAAAGATTGCTTGGTCTTCTACACAGCCTCCTTGTATGTGTGTTTACTCTGTTTCTCTTTTCTGAAGGAGATCCAACTGAAGGTGTGTCCTCAGATGTCCACTTACCCCATGGTGGTTGTACAGCTTTCTCCAGAAGGCAGCTGGGACCCACTGGCTACTTCCCCATTTCTTTCTGTTATCGGGGATTGGAGCTGATTTTCTGCAGGTCCCTGCTCACAGCAAGCACCTCCTGCCCTGTGCCAAATACAAGGCAAGGGGTGCACCTGTGTAATGGCTAATCCTGCGTGACAGAGATGCATGGGTTGTCACAAACGAGGTGTCAGCAGTGAGCAAGAAATAACACCTCTTGGGTCAAAAACTTGCCAGCCTGACAGAATTGCTGTGAGAGTGGTGCCAGCTACTGTAAGAGTGAAATGTGGCCTTGGGTGATGCTGCTGTCCTTGGGGCAGCAATGTCATCATGCTGTGTGTGCTTATTTCTCTCTGTGATTCAGACCAAGTTGTAGAAGAGGCACTGACCAAAAGGGAGTCGAGTCCGTTTCTGTACCTGGTTGTATATGATCCAAATGTATCTTTTTGTGCTGCAGGAGAAGTGTGGTTGGGCTGCAGTGCTTAATGGCCACATCACCAAAGTCTGTTTTTCTGGAAGCTGTGTAGGCCACAAGTATGCTTAGTAGCAGTACTACTACTGCCCAGCTTGGCAGCTGCTTTTGTTGCAGTAGGAGTGCAAAAAACACCATCTTCTCATATGTCTTCTAATATTTTGGCTACAGAGCTGACTGGTTTGGAAAAAAGAAAGCAAGCATTCTGGGTATGCATAGATATGCTACTCGGGGCTGCCTGGCATGTTTGATCTTTATCATCTTCTGCAACAGATCAAGAAGAAGAAATGCATAAAATGTACATTTCTAATTCAGCATATTCTGGAACAGAACAGAATTTACATGTGGTGATCCTCAGTGATTTTTCTGCTTTTAGTTGCTTTGTAAAATCTATGCTGGTGTTGCTGTATGGACATCACAATAATTGGATGACTCTAGGAGCTTCATGCATTTTTAATTTTCTTCTTTTAATTCCTTTTATCTAAAATTAAGTTCATTAAACATGAGATTTTCTTTCGAAGGGAGAAACCAGGGGACACATTAAAAAAAAATCTGTTCATAATTATGATAAGTTCAAAAGCAAAAAACAGCACCCCAATTAAACCCTGCTGCAAAGCAGTACAGCATCTTTGAATACAGCCACAAATCTTTGGGTCTAGTCCATCAAAAACGATTTTTAAATGGTAACAATATTCTATTTAATAAAAAGAACGAGTAGCCAGAAATGAGCTTTGAAGAAGGCTTGAAAATGAGAAGAAATGGTTAGCATAGCTATCTGTTGGCTTGTTTCATCTTACAGGTTCCCAGTCTGACACCGGCAGTGGTGCAGTGTTGATTATCCCAACAACTGGAAAGTGAGTGCTGCTGAGGATGGAGTGTGTGAGCGGGGTTGTTGGAATGGGAGGCAGCTGGACTCTGCAGCTACAGGATCCCAGCATTATAGGGCTGCCTGGGTCAGAGTGGCTGCTCTGTTTCTGTGCCAAGAGGAAGAGCAACTCTCATCCTGCGTGCATCTGCACAAGAGAAGCTCTTTGGTGTCCTCCTTCACTGTGACAGTGTCCTGCCCGTTGGACCATTGGGCTTGAAAATGAATTTTGCATTGCAGTGGCAGCACAACCAGAAGCATTGATGCTGTCCTGCTGCTGGTCCTGGTAGACAACAAGTATTTCTAGGAACTTCTCTGTAGTCTTCTAGCACCATGTTGGAAGCTTATTTTCCTTCTTTATCTGCAGTCTCAGTGTCATCTGGGAGACTTGCAGCACAATGAGTGTACAACCCCACCATGCTAAGGCCAGTGCCTGCTTTGTTGCCCCTCGGTGCTTTGTTCTGCCCATCCTTCAGCTGTGGTAATTCATTTCTGAGGCCCTGCTCATCTGCTAAAAGTAAGCTCACTGGTATGTCACGCCACTGACAGACCATTGCTATGTGATTTCCAGTGAACGTCAGACCAAAGTTCATCTGGAAGAAGTCTCTGCGAGCAGCGCTGCGAAGGAACACTGCATCAAATCTGCAGCGCCTTTGTAGTTTTAAGCTCTTTCTGAGTGATTCTGGGTTCTTGATGTCAGCCCACTTTAAATCTCCTTGCATGACACAAGGCACCCATCACTAGTCTCTGGTGCTTTTCATTCCCTCAGTCCAGCTCAGCCTCAGACATGCAGCTAATGACAGATGACAGATGGCTTCGGGACTTTCTGCTAAGGCAATATCTCTCTTCTGGTATTTAAGCGATAGCCGAGTTCCTCCAGAGCATATTTTTTATTATACTTTCATTGTGCACAGACTCATTAGATGCAAAACGTTCTGCCAGTCAACTTTATTCTGCTCCTTGACAGCTGTCATACCGGCAGCCTGACGATGATGACAGGTGATGCTGATGGACAGTAGGACTGTAATCAATACAGCCTGAACAGATTGAAATCAGCATGCCACTCATCCACTGAGAATACTGTAAGGAGAAGTCTTCATGTATTCCTGCTGTGTGTCTGCAGGGACTTAGAGCCGCGTCCTTTTTTGCACGTCACACTCGCACAGCTGTACTGAGGCAAAGCCAAACATCAGCTTGTGCCTGCAAAAGCAAATTAGCAGATGGATAGGTGCTGACAAAAAAAAAAAGCTGGATGAGTGCTGTCATCGAGCGAGGGGAAATAGTGGTGGAGGTGTTGAGCTGATGTGCTGAGCGAGGAGGATTTGTGGTGAGCTTTCTAGGCTAGAGTGTATTTAGGCTGCAGAAAATTGGGAAATTTGCATTGAAGAATGAGGAAAGCATCTGTGTGTTTTCAAGCACTAATATTCACGCACATTGGTTGAAACAGAAGCTTCACAAGTCCTGAAAATATCTCGTTCTGTGTTAGCTGAGAAGGATCAGCATGATGTTTTCTTTTAGGCTGGCTCATTTGGACCCATGTATACTCACAAAGACTTCCCCTCTGGACCCTTCCCCTGCTCTGTAGCCCTCCTCTGGATGCTCTCTGATGGCTGTATGTCCGTTTTATACTGTGACCCCAGAGCACAGGCAGTGCTGGCAGTGAGGCTGTGCAGCACAGGGCCTGGTATCTCCAGCATGGTTGGCTTTTCTGGCTCCAGGGCACCCTGCTGGCTCAGGTTCAACTTGCCACCAGCCAGAACCCCCAGCTCCCTTTCCAAGGGGCTGCTCCTCATCCCCCGGTCTGTACACAGAGCCAGGGCTGCCCCATCCCAGGTGCAGAACCAGCATCTGCTCTTGTTCATGCAGATGGTGACCACCCTCGCATGTGTCAGGATCTTGGGCCTAGGCCTCTCTACCCTCAAGGGAACTAACACTCCTTCCAATTTAGCATCATCCAAAATTTACTTAATATCAAGTCATTGATGAAAACATTAAAGAGAACTGGTTCAAATCCCAGAATTCCATCAGCAGTAACTGGGGCACCCCTCTGGCTGAGGGCTCCCCATGCCCAACACATCCATCTTCTGATTCTCATGGGACATTCTTAGGGTCACTCTGCCACGGCTTTGTAATGTCCCAAGCCACCTCCCTGATGATTGCTATAAATACAGGGACTCTGACAACGGAACTCCAGTCTCTGAAAGACTTGTGTCTTGGTGCAGCCTTCTAGCACAAGAAGCAGCAATTTAGAAGGAGCCTTTCCTCCTTCCCACCATGGATCCTCCCCCACCCAAGAAGCGTAGGGTTCAGGGGAGCAGCAGCAAACCTGAACCAATGGATGTTGATCCACCTAAGGACAACATTGAGCCCATGGTGGTGGATGTGCATCCAGAGGAAGAAACAATGGAGATGGATCCACCTCCATAAGAGCCAGGCCAGCACTATAACACCATGCCTGCCTGCAGACGTCAGTACATCTGGTGGCACACCAGGGGCCATTGACTTCCATCTGAGCACTGAAATGTCACCACCTGCCAGAGAGCCCCAGCTCCAGCTGCTGCTCCCTTCCTTTCCCATCCTCCATCCTCATCCTTCCCCAGAATCTCCCACCCCTTTTTTCCCAAGCTCTGAGGAAAAGGGAAGGACTTGGACTGGTGTCCTCCGAGCTGCTGCCATTCCAGGACAACAGGAGGAGTCCAGCAGGCAGTCCTGAGCACCCTGCAGCCCCCAGGTGAGCCCGAAGAAAGAGGGCAGGACTGGAACTGGTGTCCTCTGAGCTGCCGTGTGGACAGCTGTGAGCTCCCTGCAGCCTCCAGGTTGTGTCAGAGAAGCTACAGAGGCAACTGTTCATCTGGAGAAGCAGAAGATGTTGGTTTGGACAGGAGGAAGAGTTGAAGTTCAGCCCGAAAGTCCATTCCGGCTGCTCCATTAGAACTTTTTGCCTAAGAAAGGACAATAAACAATTTAAAAGGATGGTAAAAAATAGTAATAATAATAAAAAGCTAAACCAGTAAGTGCCTCTCCACTTTTGGAACTTCAGAGTCTGCCCTGAGACTGGAGTGTCCCCTCCCGCTCTCCCCAAGACAGAATGACTTTGCCTTGTGGGATGAGGTCCCAGCCAGCATTACTGTTCCCACTGCTGCCTCCTGCATCAGCCAGCCTTGTCCACTGAGTCACCCAGGACAGGCATTGCCAAAGCAGCTGTTTACTCATCACTGTGTACATTTGATACCATAAGACTCAAACAGTTTAGTTAGTATTCAAAGAATAGATCCCTTGATGCTCCAGATAAGCATATGCCCCTTCGTGTAGACATGGGGAGGCACCCAAGAGCAATCTAGTCCTGTTGATGTCAAAGAGTGATCGCTATAGATCTGCAACTATAGGCAAACTGACTCACCAGAACCCCTCCGTTTACAGATGCAGGTGCAAAGTTAGATATAATATTCTGACAATCCCCAATTCTGACAGCTCTGGGGATAGTTGGGAGCTTTGTGAAAACTGTATGAATATTCGTGTGTTGAATGTATATAAAGAGAGTGCTATAG